TATTATATTATCTCCTATCATTTCTTCACCACCTCACTTGGTTCTAATCTCTAACTTCCTCATTGGACCCGACGAGCTTACCAATACATGAATACGAATGTCGCAAGTAATGTAGGTAATTGTTATACAAAGTATAACATTCCACAGAACTAATAGATGGCAGGGTATGCAGAGCAGCAATTGAGCGTGCCAGCAGCAACAGAGAGTACGCATGTTCAAGAGCTACCGCTCTCTCACTTATCTCTTTCCATCTTTATCGCTCTCTGGCTGTGCTTGTTGACCATCCATGAAAAAACCGGTTCCATCTCTTTGAAACGGTTATAATACTGTGCATATGCTCACTGTAGATTGTAGATTTAAAACGGTTACAATTCGATTTTATTTAATATTATTAACGAATTATTTATGTCGCCGTTCTTATTGAACGGTATATAATTTAACATTGGAATGTTAACATTTATCAGACCACACACTCTTGTATGTACAGTTTTATATATAAAATGCTTATCAATAAATGAAAAGCAAGTTTAATTTTAGTTTTTTTGATTATTGGGTACAGTTAAGATTTCTAAAATAACAAAAAGTATTACTTGTGTGATACTAATTGGGATCCATAATTAACTTACGATTTTTGTAGGACATTCTATATCAATAGAATGTGGGACTGTGTATCCTTACTGAGTGACCAGTTGAGAGAGAGAGACAGAGAGAGAGAGAGATAGAGAAGGTGCATATATACTCTCATATAAGTGTATATCGCAATATTTAGATATTCCATTTTATTAGCTTCATTTTGAAAGCACCGCAAAATATTCGACGATGCATTACACGCTTATTACTCAGACTTAAGCATAATAAACCCTAGAAATGTATCCTTATCACATAACATTACATTCAAATCAGATGCTCTCAGCTTGCACAATCCCCATCACCCGCCGCCGCCACAAACTGTAGTCCCACGAGTAGTGGTGACCCCTCGACCGCATGGGTCTTGACCTCCATGCTCGCTGCTTGGATGCGAGTTTCCAGATTGGTGATATCGATCTTTCGCATGTAGCGCTTATGCAGAAGGATCTGTCGCGGATACCAAAGCATCAGACCTAGGCCCAATGCCACGGCTATACAACCGCAGACTTTTCCCACGAGCGCAGAGATCGGCAACAGTTTCAGATAGAATTCCAGATCGGATGAAATTCGCAACCGATAGTCCACCCAGCAGAGGGGAAAGAAGGTGCGACGTGACTTGCGGAAGATGCTAGAAGGCGGAAAATCGTTTGGCTATCATTCGCTGTGGGACTCCTCAGCCCTACTTACGATTCTCTACGCGGTTCGACCAGAAGACTGATCATTAGCCGCGCCTTGATGTCCAGCAGTATGCCAGTGCTTGGCTCCAGCATTACGCTCATCTCGTGGCGATCCTTGTCAGGCTTCATGCCTTCCACTGCTTCCGCATAATAGGGATCGGCATTATAGAAATGTGGCGATGAGGCAAACACGGGCACATCGTACCAACAGGAAGATACATTCATCAGGCCGGAGCGCACCTCCCTGCAGCTACCCGTACAATAGCAGCTGTTCTCCGGATTATCAGTGCCTGTAAATTTGATGGAGATTCGATGAGAGTCTTGGGCTATATTAAGAACTCCTACCATTTGCTAAATTCCTGGCGGTGCCCTTGTAGACGTAAGCCTCGATACCCTTAAAGAGCGTGGTGCCCGCATAGTCCAGTTGCATCTCACGGCAAAGATCGGGCAGAAAGTATGAAATTGGCTCGCCCTGGCGCAGCGGAGTGGGATGAAATTCGCCCGTACTGCCCCTCAGCTTGCAATTGGGATAACCAGCCGAAACATTGTCGTAACGCCAGCGTGCTATTTGACCCACTTTGCTAAAGTCCTGCTTGCCAGTATGGACATTATGATGCCCGTAGATCTGGGTGCTGCCGTTGCGCTGGGCGAAACAAAAACAAAGCTAAATAATTGAGCAGCAGGTTAGACGGCTTCCGACAGTGTCTTACCGGATAACCGTAGCCTATACGTTCGTATGGGAAATACAGGTCCGGCATCATGTTATTGGGTATCATTTTGCTCATCTTTATTAAGGGCGTATCGAATCCATTGAAGAGCCAGTCTTCGGCAGGCCTCACGAATGTTGCCTCATTGCCATTCATATTCAGCGCCATCAGCATCAGCGTGCGCAGCATCGGGTTCCAGTTCTGGATTTTGTTGACGATACCAACACTCAGCATATTGGGCGCCACAATGGAGTCCGTGAGATTGCCCGCGCTGGCTGCTTCATCGAAGTAGAAGTGGCTGCGGCGCAGATAGGACACAGTCGAGTTCTCTGGATGCCAGACCACATTCAGCTTCTCCTGTGTCTCGGTGAAGCAGTAGGGACCCAGCTCCTCAAAGCGCGGCTTGACATTCGGATTGTTAAACTGTTCCGAGTTCGTCCAGTTGAAGATGTATACGCTGGCAGTTATGTCCAAGCTGGGCTTCTGCCAGAGATTGCTCAGCATCGAGTTGGGCTTGAGCACCATGAACTGCAGTATATATATGTGGATAACGTGTGTCCATGGATTCACATGTCTCCGGCCAACTTACCCACTCCAGGGCGCGCCGTTGTATGCGCTCCAAGTTCAGAACAGAGATTAGACCCAAGGAGGCGAGCAGCAGACCCACCAGACTGGTAAGGGCAATGCGATTTTTTCCGATCATATCATTCAGAGCACGCAGGTTGGCAGTGCAATAAGTCTAGAATTTACTAGCGTACTCCGTATTTAATTCGTTCAGTTATAAAACGTAAAAGTTAACTGGTTCTGCAATCGATACATATAAGCAAATAAATAATATTGTGCACAATTTCTTAGTTGTTCATTTTAAATCAATAGCAATTATCATCCGCATGCAAGCCATTTAATGCTCTAAGTTATTCAAGTTGCCGGCATAAATCATTTTCAGTTTATATGATTCTGTTCAGTTTCAGATATTCATAATAACTGCTAAACATTCTCTGGCAAGCCTTTTTAATTGCTTCCCTTTTTTATGACCCGAGTGGGTTTACAATGTACGTAACAAACATGCTGCTGGGACACGCTTAGGCCGTATCACCACGCCCCCCTGTCCGGCTGCCCTCCGGTATGAGGCCGCCGACTGGGCAAGCTACAAAAGCAACTGATCTCAAATGTAATTGTTTGTATAAATATTTCCCGTATTTACATAATAAAGCTGAATATCGACTTGGCACTTACAGAGTTTTACAGGTTGGTAAAAGTTCACATTTTCTTTTGCTTTCCAGCCCGATAATCTGATAAGCATCTTTGATAAGAATCTGAGGCAATCGAAATATCAAAGTTTTACGAATTTCCATAATGAAAAATCGTTTTAGGCACTTGTTATTCGTATTCGAAAGCAATCTTTTCTTGAATTTTTGAACAGTTTCATATTACAGGGTATATGGCGACTTACCCCGCTAATTATCTATTGAAGAAATTTTGGTTGGTTCGTCACGAAAATATGAATCACGTTTTCTTTTCTTGACACAATCGCAAGGTATTCCCAATTGTCTTTAATTGAACGTCTGGCTGGCCGAGACCAATCTCAAAGGTTCAGAAGGGTTATCGTGGTACAGACTTTGATGGCACACACTGTTCTCACTGATAAGGCCAAAATACCATTGACTTGGAGACTTTCATGATTTTGTATTTTGTATTTTTTATTTGAAACCGTAGAAGAGCACTGGATCAGCAGATTTTCCGGATCTCGAGCGTGCGTTCAACGATGCGCTTTAAACGCCGACTTGATAACGACTGACGACTTAAAGGAGCATGTTCCTCTATATTAGTACTTAACAAACAGACAAACAGTAAAATTAAAAGAAAGAAAACTCAGAATGATTATGCAGCGTGGCGAAGTAAGCGCAGGCAGGCCACAAGTCTACAGTTGATACTGTCACCTAACAAACTTAATTGATGCACTGAGCAAAATAAGGTTTGCATACTTTCGGCGGAATCATTAAACGAAATGTTTCGAATGGATCGAGCCCAGTGGCCCACATCTGCGGCCCGACAATGTAATCAGTTCAACTTGGTTGGTAGCACTTTCGCTTTCTTCCATATATACATATATATATATATATATAGGGGATCGGTCAATGGCTTCGGAGTTGGGCACACCAACAAAAATTTGAGCAGTGTACTGACCATTCAGCTTCAATTTAAATGTTTGTACTTAGTGGCATTTTATAGCAGTTGGCTTGGTTCAACAGCTCCATAATCTCGGCAAGGGTTATCTTTTAACGATTTAGTGGCCCAGAGCAGGCCAGAGACGACCCCTTCCCCGAAATGGTAGCAGCACCCGTCACTTGCTACTCGCCACTCGCACCGCTCAGCTCCAGTCAGTCGTTATCGCCTCAACTCTAACCTCCGGCAACTGGGCAATGGAGCAACTGCACCAACACCAAATTAACAAGTTTTTGTGTTTTCCAACATTTCGTGCGTTCGCATGTTCTGGCCCCTGCACTGATAAGGGCCACGTTCCAATCACTTGAACGCAATGCCCGATGGCGTTGATCTGATAAAAAGCAGGAGGACAGCTATAACAACAACACCAACAACAACAACAACTTTCATACAATCCATATACACATGTACTGTACGTATTTTGGTTATATGATGCCTAAAAACATAAGTAGATTTTTATATGCGCAACATTGTAACAACTTTTTTTTCAATGGGAACCTCATGAAATATTATCGTATAATCTAAGATAGGGCTGTGAGAATTCTACTTGCAATTGTCCATAATATGAACCGATTTACCTTAAAAGCATTGACAGCATTTGGGTATATATATAAACGTTATAATATTCTGATACACACAACTATATGTTAACTGTGATAGATAATATTTTGCTAATACTTTGGAGTGCAGACAAGATATCTCTTAAATTTATGAATTTTCAATTTTAGCTGAAGAGAGAAAGATTAATGTAATCGTCTGCGCGTTGCATTCAGTCTTAAGTAAACATACATATATATATTGGATTATAAATACAGGGCATATGTGAAGTCAGGCACACAGTTGGCACAGGTAACAAATCATCTTACAAAGCTAAACTTGAGCACACTAGACATGTAATCAATGTTCGGTGTCATCCGTTTGGTATCAATTCGCAGCGATCTGTCGCTGACTAAATATCGGGGATTCTACAAAGCAAATCAAAGATAATCAATAATGTATATATAAATAAGTATATTCACGCTTACTTGCACACAGCTGGGATTAATGTCGCTCTGTCTGATCCACAATTCTAGCGGCTGGGTGCGCCAGCTTTGCTTGGACAGCACTGCCAGACAACGGCCGATGAATGCGTTGCCAATGCAACGAGATCTTGTCATATCCAAGATGCGCAGCTGGCGGCAGTTGATCACAAATTGCAGTAGACCCGCTGGACTCTCCAGCTGATAGCCGCACAGGTGCAGCTCGCAGAGCTCTGGCAGCTGAGCGGCCAGTGGGCAGAGCATTTGATCGCTGAGGCACTGTAGCTGTCCATCCTCCGACTGTCCGTGCACCTCCAATCTGCGCAGATGGCGTAGATTGCTTAGCTCACGAAAGAAGCGTTCATAGTCGTGTAGAAGTCCGCTAAAGCGAAAGCCTTCGATTTGCTTGATGCCGCCAGCTGCGGCATTGCTGAGTCGCGCTATGCGCGCCAGCACATCGAAGACAAAATTCTTGGAATATATGGAGAGCTTGTGTAGGCGTGGCAGGCGCAGCAGCTGCTGTGTTATGTCCGATTCCATGCACAGATGATAATCGGCAATCTTAATGTGCTCCAATGTGGGGCACAGCTGCACGTCAACCAAATCACAGCAGTTCACTTCATCGCAGTCCTCCATAATGTCAAACTTGCGCAGCTTCAGCTGCCGAAAGATGTCGCGAAAGTACTGCGACTCCAGATACTGACAGTCGTCCAGGCACAGCTCGTTTAGCAGCTCCAACTCGTGCAGATACTTGCCCGTCACCTGGCAGCCACGCAATTTGAGCTTGCGCAGCGAGGGAAACACACGCTTTAGCAAACGCACATCCTCGTCCACGAATCGAACTCGGCCACGTCGCGGCTCATGATCATCGCCCAGCCACTCCAGGCTGCTGACACCCGGCAAGCAGTGTTCATTTAGCATTCGCAATCGTCTCACATCCAGCCGATGGCAGCTGAGACGCTCCAGATGCGGCGCCAGTGCCAGCATGAATGCCTGAAAGTGACGCGACGACGCACGGCACAGCAGCTCATCTTGCAGCGCCACATTGTGCACACGCGTGCGCCACAGCGACTGGACAATGCTCCTCAGGCGGCTGTGCAGTTGGGTTAGCTCGAACTGTTGGTACACATTTAGTTGGGCCACTATCAAGGCCAGAACGTCATCATTTAGCTGCAGCAGTGTGCTGGGCTTTGGCTCTGTGGAGTAGCAACGGTTCACACTGGCCTACAAGTCATAGCGCTGCCTCAGCTTACCTGTTTCCTGTTTTGTGGCCATTTGTCGGCTGTGCTACAATTTCTGGTACTGTCACTTAGCTGTTGGCAGGCGCAAAGCATTTTAGACACTGCCAAACAAATGCAGCCTGACCAGCTGTCCAGGGTCCATAATTTCAGAGGCCTTGCTACCTAAACGTGCCTTCCTTAGGGGTGGTTTTCCAGGCAGGCTGGCCCACCTACCTACACTTAGCTTGCCGTCTTCAGTTAGAGATGCGACATGGGCAAGCCGATGATTGCGACTATCGTAGCTGTAACTTTTTAGCCGATAGTCGGCCAGCATATGCAAGTATTTTCAGTATTTGAATTTACCGTATTATACTTTTTTCTCTCATTGCGAGCTTTTTGTACAATGTATTAAGTTAATTAAATTATGTGTAATGTTAGGAATTTGCCTGCACCTACAAGATTCAGATAATTCAAACATATATGTGCATGATATATGTACAACTATGCAGATCGAGAAAATGTACACGACTTTGTCTTTGTTTTTTTGGAATCTTTGCAAACTGTTTTACTAAGCCGCTAAACTGTCGAGCTTAAAAATGAAGCTTCAAGTCAAAACAAAAAACTTGTACCGTCTGCAATATAACATATAGAGATATTCATACGAATCGTTTTTCTAACTATAACCTCAAAATTGGTTGTATTTGCGAAGCTTTTAGAAAAATAAAAGCATAATTTTTTCGTCGTTAGCCAACGAAATTTTGTATAAAAGTTATTATAATATACAGCATAAGCTTATTAGCGCAGCTGTTTAATATTTATTTTCATTATCATTATCATTATCATTTTAATTTTTTATTTATTTGTTTGGTGCTTACTACGTCTTTAATTTGTATGTATTTAGTTCGATTTAACTTGTACAATATATTCTATGTTGTATGTATAATGTATTATTATTCATTCAATTTCATTTGTCGGTATAGGCATATATTGTAGGTATATATAGTGTATATATTGTATCTGCATTATAGTACATTATTGTTTCTAATTACTTAGTATTGTTATTGATTTGTGTTTTAATTTTGCTTGTTCTTTCTGTTTCTTCTGTTCTTATCATTTCTTTGTTGTTGCTTTAATTGGCTGCGTTTTAGGAAACATTTTTCGACACCTGCAGCTTATTGTTAATAATAATAATAATAATTATTATTATTATTATTGTGTAAATTATGTGTGTTAAGCTATAATCGATTTATGCAAACTTACAAATTAATCTGTTTGTTAAATATTGCAACACACTTTAAAATTGCCATTCGCATGCTACAAATACAGTTGTTCAGTTAATATATTAGTTAATAATCGTATTATATATAATATACATATATATATATATATATATATATATATATATATACTCTATATGCATTTTATATACTGCGCTCTATTATACACATCTCCAATCTATTTTAAAAAACACCAAAAACTAACACGGCTAAAACAACTACATAAACATGTTTGCTTGTGTGTGTGTGTGTGTGTGTGTGTGTGTGTCTCTCTTCACATTTAGACGAAGTTTTCACAAGGGTTTTTCTTTATTTTGACTCTGTATTTTCCCTTATAAAAATACATTAGACTAAAGCGATTCGTTATGCAATCAGAAATCTGTGAAAACTTCGCAAAAATGTTTTTTTTTTTTTGCTTAAATAATTTAATTCTTGCGCACATTTGTTTTTGTTTTTGTTTTTTTTTTTTTACAATTTTTAATTGTTCCCTGCATTCTTAGTACATATTTATAAACTTCTGTCGCTGCCAATAAATGCCTTAAAAATAAAAACACAAACTGTATATATTTATTTTAAAATTTCATTTTCCTTCTTTAATGAACAAATCAAAGTGAAACCAAAAAATACTTAATTGTTTTTTGTGTATGATGTTTTATTTGTGTACATGTACAGTTTATCTGGTTAATTTAAATTATATGGTTTAATTAAAATATTAAATTAATAAAATGTTGCATTTAAAAGGAAGCATTATGTGTGTGTGTGTGAGTGTGTGTGTTTAAATATTAATAAACTTGACTCATCTAATAATATTATTTATTTATTATATTTTTTTCTTTTCGTTTTCTCTTTCCTTATTTGTTTGTGTAAAATTTAAAGCAGATATGTTGTTGCTTGTGGCGCTTGGGGCTTGCTTCTTCTATAATTTGTTGCTGTTTTCAACATAAGCACAGTAATTGTTATATTTAATTGTAGAGTTGTGCCTAGCTTTATTATTATTATTCTTGTTGTTGTTAACTTTAATAGTGTGTAGTTGGGGGGGAGGAGGTTATAACTTCATCGCTTAGTTTTCTTGTCATATCGTAATCGTAATCGTAATTAGAATTATAGCGCGTGCGCTACTCTACACACACATTTTGTAGATATAACTAAAAACTAATTCACTTTCGCTCTTTTGTCTCATTATAATCAATCTTAATTCTTCTTAGTAGTTCAACTAACATTAAATATAATAATATATAATTTTCTTCTTGCGTTTCTATCATCTCTCGTTAGTTCTTGACTTAGCCTACGATTATTCCTCTTCAACTCACTTGTTAGTTAACTGCTCTAATACGCCTTGCCCTATATAACAAAGTTTTCCATCCATAGGCAACAATTTGTCGGACTTAAACGTTAACGGGGCTGAAGGTTAAGAGGGTGGTTTGATATATATTAACTGGGCGCTGCTATTAGCATAATATTTGTGTAGTTTATATGTAAATGTATGCATAACTGTTTAAGCTGTTTCGCTACATACTTTGTCTTACAAAATGCACAAAATAATACAAAATTTTCCGACAATATCTCAAAGTTTTGCTGCAGTTTATATACAAAGTATGTATAATTGATATATATATATATATAAATATATATTTATGATAGTTGTATGGTATGAGGATGCCGTGTAAGAATATATGAATGTCTCTCTCTCTCACTTCCTATGCATAACTTAATGAAACATAATGTTAAAAATACAGGCGCCGAACTAAAAAAAAAAAACTGATTACAACTTTTTGAACCCATTGATGAACTCTCGCTAACTTGGCCGATAGCACAGCTAACAGCCAGCCCTAGCGCCGTCGTTACGCGTACATTTCATAAATGTGACAGAGACGTGAAAAATATATATTATATAGACGCTAAGCGCCTAAAAAGATCGGTTAGAGAACAATGAAGGGAAACTATGAGATGTTTTTTTTTCTTGTATTGCACGTTGCGCAAGCAGGCGCCTGACTGGAGAGTTGGGTAATAGGTAAGGGGTGAGACACATTATCGGGTTCAAGGCGTAACCAGCGCGCGGCTTTATAAAATATATAAATGAATATGTTTTATATGTATAACTAGCTGCTTATGTGTTGATGTGGATTGTTGTTGCCTTCAGTTGCTTCGATTGGCCGCCGGATTTTGTGTGCTTTTCTTTTTTACCACTGTGTTGTGGCTGTTGTGGCCGCCGCCGCCGTCGTCGGGTAGCCAGGCAGCAGGGGCTACTGTTAGTAAACCACCGGATGTTGCTCCACATTTGTGGGCAGATGCTGCAGTTGCATCGCGGCACGCGCCAGCGCGCTTGGATCACTTATCAATGCGATTGGCACCTGTGGCGGTGGCTGTTGCTGTTGTTGTTGCTGTGGCGGCGCCTGTGGATGCGACTGTTGTTGTTGTTGTTGCTGCTGTTGATGATGTTGCTGCTGCTGTTGCTGCTGCTGCTGATGCTGCTGGTGATGATGCGCCGCATGCTGTATGGACAATTGCAGCAACTGTTGCTGCTGCAGTTGCTGTTGCTGCTGCTGATGTGCAGCGACTGCCGCCTGCTGTTGCTGTTGTTGCTGCTGTGCGGCCACCTGTTGCTGATGTTGCTGATGCGCTGCTGCTGCCGCTTGTTGTTGAGCCGCCGCCGCCTGTTGCTGGGCAGCGGCTGCTGCTGCCGCCTGCTGTTGTGCGGCAACTGCTGCGGCCGCCTGCTGCTGCTTCTGCGACTGCTGGGCATTGTGGGAGATGAGCGTGCTGGTGACAAGCGGCACCAGGCCAGGCGTTAACTGGACGGCACCGGCGCCAGCCGCTGCAGCGCCCGCTGTTATCTGCTGAATGGTGTGCATCGTGGTCGTCGCCGAGTGATGGGGAACTGTAAAGGGGGAAGATGCGGTCAGTATGGCAATTGAACGAGCGTAGGCAGACACAGTCGCGTGTCTTGTTTCGTGTGTTCTGTGTCCGACTCACTTATGATCGGTTTCACTTCCTGCTTGACTTGGGTCAGCACACCAGCCGGTATTTGCGGATGCGGATGCACGGGTGGTGGCGGCATCATAGCATCCGGGTGATTCATCTTCATGTGGCGCTTCAAATTGCCGCGCTCGACGAAAGCCTTGCTGCACAGTGTGCACGCGTGCGGTTTCTCGCCCGAATGGGAGCGCATGTGCGAGACCAAGTGACCTGCGAAACGGACAATGGAAGCGACATGAAGATATCTGCCGACAAGGAGAGATCGAATTTCGACAAAAAACCAAGGGTGGCGGCTCTTCCGACTTCGGCAGCCGAAAAGTCGAGCCACTCCGAACCAAACCAATTCGAGCGAGCGGGCGGGCGGGCATTTTTCTTACATTTTCATTTTGTTTTTTGTTTTTTTTTTTTAGTTAGAGGTGAGGGAAACTTGGGGCAACTCAACCGATCGCACAGTGCAACGAATACTTGACAAAACCCAGTTATCCAAACTATTGATTAGATTATATGGGGATCTTTTTTAATCTTTTTGTTGATAATGACAAAACGCACAGAAAAAACGGAAACCCTAAGTCTCAAAATAATAATAATAAATAAATAAATCTTCATATCACCCCGAATAACTTATAAAAATAAATCGTTTTAGATCATCCTAAAAAATCAATTGCATTACCACTAGATAACTTTTGGAATAATTATATTAACTTATAACGCAATGTTTAATTATAATATATTTTGTTTAGAAAGATACCTAAAGCTCTATGCATTGTCTATTAATGATTACCTATGGAAAGCTATTCACAGACTTTCGGCTATAAATTTTAGAAAAGGAATCAATAAAAATGAGCTGAAATTGAAATTGACCTTAACAGAGATTATTCGCTGCACTGTGGGTTAGAGGAAGGGTTAAGGATTGGTTGGTTGATAACAGAAATGCGGCTGGACTGGGAAGACTACTATGCTGACGCCACGTCTCGCGTAATACACTCTGCTGCACAAAAGGCTACTCACCTTTGCATATGAAATTCTTGGGGCACTTCTCGCAGGCAAACGGACGCTCGCACTCCTGGCCCTTGGTGTGGCTGCGCTGATGGAACAGCAGATTACCCTTGAGGGGGAACGATTTACCGCACGTCTCGCAGGTGAAAGGACGATCGCCGGTGTGGCAACGGGACATATGATTAATCAAATGCTCCTTGCGTGTGAAGGGCTTGTTGCACACATTGCAACAATGGGGATTGTCGCTCGAGTGCTGGCGCATATGGTTATTGAGATGCTCCTTGCGCGTGAACGTCTTCTGGCAGTATTCGCATTTGTGCGGCGAATCTCCAGTGTGCAGGCGTACATGATTCGTCAAATGCTCCTTGCGGGTGAAGGTCTTCTTGCAGTAGCTGCAACGATGCGGCGAATCGCCCGTGTGCTGTCGCACATGATTCGTGAGGTGCTCCTTGCGCGTAAACGTCTTGGTGCAGTATGTGCACTTGTGCGGCGATTCGCCTGTATGTTGCCGTACATGATTAACCATGTGATCTTTGCGTGTGAACGCTTTCGTGCAGTACGTGCACTTGAACGGTGTCTCACCCGTGTGCTGGCGTATATGATTCACCAGATGCTCCTTGCGCGTAAACGTCTTCATGCAGTAGGAGCAGCGATGCGGCGACTCTCCCGTGTGCTGGCGCACGTGATTTAACAAATGCTCCTTGCGCGTAAACGTCTTGGAGCAGAAGTCGCACCGATGCGGCGTCTCGCCTGCTTGCGTGGTAAAAGGTAAGAATCGTACAATAACATTACAGATTAGTAATCATTCACAAACGAACCATATTAACAACAGATATACGTCATCAGTTATCAGTCCTTGTCATTGTTTTAAGTCTCGCTCCGATTGCGTGTTTCTCCCAATACAACAACATAACCCCAGATGAGTTCAATTTGGTGTCTGCTAATTCAGATATCAGTTTGATTGCTTTTCAATCATTGCAATTTCATTGGTCTAATATAAAATAGGATTAATCCATCATCGCAATCTCATGTCATCAGTCAGACTCTATGGACTTTTATATTTTTTTTTGTGATTAACTGGAATACCGGAATCTAATACAAGGAAATTCTAGCTACAAACGAGGGAGTTAATCAAATGAATTACGCCGATTCGAGTCACAAATAAATTATTCAAATTTTCGAGCAAGAAATGACTCATTACCAACACAAGGAATTTTTAGTAGGAGTAATTAAGCTTTACATATAAAGTGTTGTATTTAGCAAGGATTCAAAGCTTCGATCACCATAAGTTGCAGCGCATTTTATAATACTTGTAGTATTCCTCTTTAAATAAACTGTTCAATCAGCGTGATTGACTATTGTTACTGTACTGTTGTTTGGTGATATGAACGAATCATGCTACTTAAACCAATCTTATTGAATTCAAAATATTAGATCAATCAATGTAAGAGTTAACGAAAGCTTCAATCACTGTGATTGACAATTGTTTTGTTTCTTTTATCGAATTACGAATTACTTAAAATAAGCATATCAAATTCAGTTTTGATCAGTGATTAACAATGATAATACTGTTATTCATATTCAATCACAGTATTCAAAAATAATCAAATAGAATTCAGCATTTGAATCAATATCTGTGATTGACAATGATTTTACAGTGATTTTGATTAATCAATAACTCACTCATGCAATGAATTAATCCCATTTAATTGTGAATTTCGAATGGATTCGAATCACACTAAACCATTTGATTCATAATTATTGAAATTTTGTTGTTGTTATGAGGCCCCAGCCCTTATGGTTCGTTATCGCTGCTCGTGCACCAATCGCGCATGTGTTTGTGGCTGTGTATGACTGTGGAGGGGTTTCTTCCGGTCCAATTTTGGACACTGATGGGCTGTACGAAATTTAGCGGTAAAATGCAATGGACTTGGCTTAGAGTGTGTATTTGTGTTGTGGTCGGGTTATGCGTTGGGCTGGTTGTTTGGTTGGTTGGTTCCGTTTTGTCTCTTTACCTGTATGCCAGAGTATGTGATTGGTGAAATGCTCCTTGCGACTAAAGCTCTTGCCGCAGATTTCGCAACGAAACGGCGTCTCGTTGGTGTGGGAGCGCATATGGTTGGCTAGGTGCTCCTTGCGCGTGTATTTCTTGCCGCAGACATCGCACTGATGCGGTGTTTGACCTGTTTGTTGGTGGTACACAGAACAGAGAACAGAAAGTATAGGGTGGGGAGATTTTTTTTCTGGTTAGCGCAAGCATTCAAATATGTTTTTCAACGCGATCATATTCTCGTATTATTCTCTAGACATTTGTTGTTTCAAATTTCAAATGACCCGCCAAATAATCATAATCAAAATATTTAAAACAAAACTAATAGCTAAAAAATACAAATTTAAATAATAAAAAAATTCACTAGAAAAGAAAAAAAGAAACCCCCGGCACCGCTATGTGTGTGTGAAACTGGCCGTGGCTTGCGTTGGGTTCGAACGAAGCGAACGGAGGCTCGGCTTTGTGGGTGGCGCATGGTCGGTGGGCGTGGTTTTTTTTGGTCATGTGAAGCGTATGTGTATGAGAGGATGTAGTTGTGTGCGTGTTTGTTTGTGTGCATTTGTGTGTGCCTGATACTCTAACTAGAGCTGGAAACCAATTGGATTTGCGTTTCAATTTCATATACATTAATTACTGAGCATCCCTAATGGCGGCACTTTCCATTGAAAGCTTTCCAGTTCTAGATATTCTGCGCTAATGCTAATGCAAAATGCAAATGTGTGCGTGAACGTAAAGTTCGTCTGGTGAATGAAGCCGGGTTCGACGCCAAAAATCTAACCCTAAATTATATGCATGTGTGTTGCAGGAATGGGAGAATCTCTCCAGCCCACTAGGTGTAAAGTGTTTTCTTTGTTTGTCTTCTGTCGCACTATGAACGCCGTAGGCACAGGCACAGGACGTTGGCAATCGACAAGCAGCAACAACGAACGCTTCTTTATTTTCAAGCACCCTGTACAGCAGAGAGAGGGGGGGCGGGAGAGCGTTTACAAAACTGGGATACTAAGGAAATGGAGCACAGGCAGACTACACGAAGCGAGTAGGAAGAATCGAAGACGATTTAAATAACAGGAACAATTGGAGGATTGAAGTGAGTGGTTTGATGATGAGTGAATGATTGTGAGCATGTGAGAGTGAGAGTGAGTGTGTGTGTGTGTGGGTGTGTGTGTGATGTTGGCTTGGGGGGGTAGGATTGTTATGAGCGGTATGAGCGAGTATTGAGCGAGAACATTGGAAATGTACTGAGCTTAACAGCAATCGACAGCATCAATTAAAATCGTATAATGTAAAGACTTTACGAAATTTCATCAAATTGATTTAACTACTATAAAAAAAAACAACTATTCGTTTGATTCGAAATATCAAATATCGTTGGTTATCAAATGCATTCAAAATTTCTTCAAATTGCATACTTTGCACCTCTCCCAAATGAGATCTTCTTGTTTTAATATCAAGTGGTGCTTACTATCGATAGTTATTCAGCTCTTAAATGCATAGGCAAAAATGTGAGTGTGTTGTGGGTGAGAGGTTGTGAGTACAAAATGCAGGGAAGCTGAAGGGCTACATATAAGGAGGCTTATATATAGGAAGCACAAGCAATGTAAAGACAGTGGGTAGGAGAGGGAAGCAGACGATAGGAATTACGCACGATGAGTTGCGGTTACTTGATTGATTGAGATTCGATTGAGATTTGATTGATCAATTGATTGATTTTGATTTGGTTGGTGTGATGTGATGGCTGTTGATATTATCTGTAGCTGATTTGGTTGTATTTTCATTTTGGTTTTGTTTTGTACTCTACTGGAATTTTGGTAATTTGATAATCGTTTTACGATTTTCGGTTTGACTTTTAATTATTAAATTTTTGTTTGGTTTGGTTTGGTTTTTTTTTTTTTGGTTTTTTTTGTATTTGTGGTCGTGGCGCTCGCCGCTCGCATTGTCCGCCCCCGGTCACCAAATCACACTCACCAGTGTGCCACATGTAGTGGTTAACATAGTGTTCCTTGCGCGTGAAGGACTTCTTACAAATATCGCAACGATGTGGCGTCTCACCCGTGTGTTTGCGCACATGATTAACCATGTGCTCCTTGCGCGTAAACGTCTTGGCGCAGTACTGACAACGGAACGGTGTTTCGCCCGTATGCGAACGAAAATGATTGTCCAGATGCTCTTTGCGTGCGAAAGTCTTTTGGCAAATGGTGCAGGCGAATGGCTTGTCCGTTGAATGCCGTTTCATATGGCGCTCCAGACTTGTATTATTGGCAAACACATTGAAGCACACAATGCAAGTGAACATGGGACCGCCAATGTGGATCTTCCCATGCCGGGTCAAATCCTGCGATGTGGTAAAACCCTGACCGCATACCTGACACATAAACGGCTTGCGCTCGCTGTGGTAGCGACGGTGCACAATCAGCTGATAGCGAAACTGGAACATTTTGCCACAAATGTCGCACACATGCGTACCAGTCGCTATGGGCGTGCCATCCGGCGCCAACGCAACGCTCGATTGCCCATCGACGCCATGAATGCCGCCCTCCATTTTCGGCATTAGCAACTCACCCGTCGTCGTCGTTGTCGAGTTGTTGTTATTGTTGTTGTTGTTCTGGCCCCCATTCCCCCCGTTGCTGCCAGAGCTAGTCGTGGTCACCGTGGCGCTGCCCTGTTGTGATCCAGCATTTGTGCTTGTCGCTGGGGCTTGCTGTTGCTGCTGTTGCTGTTGGGCTGTGGCCGCCGCTGAGGCGGCCGCTGCAGCCGCGGCTGCTGCATTGGCGGATGCCATTACAGCAGCGACGGCTGCATTATTTGTGGACGCCGCCGCTGCTGCTGCAGCTGCGCTAGCCGAATGCGTTGTCTGCGGCGGTAGTGGCGGTGGCGGTGGCAGCTGCGGCGGTGGCAGCTGGCTGCCATGCACCGCCGCCACATGATTCACCACATCGCCATGGATTTTGCCAAAGACCTCGTGATACGTAAATAACTGTGATATATCCTCAATGTTCACTTTATACATTTCAATGCCGTGTGGCGGCTTGCCGCCGTCCTCTTTATGATCTGATTTGCTGCCGGGCAATGGCGGCGGTCCGCCCAAAGTGATGGTGGTGCCACCGCCAGTGGTCACCACCGGTGCTGAAACCACCGAAGGTGCCGAACTGGCAGCGCTCACGTGCTGCATTTATGGAGAACTACACGCAAATTATGTTGCCTCTCTCTCTCTTTTTTTCTTTCTAATAATTCTTGTTGTTCTCGTGTTGATTGTTGTTGATTGTTGTTGCTGCTGCTTCTTAAACAGTTGTTGTTATTGTTGTTGTAGTTGTTGCAATTGCTGTTGTTGCTGCTGCTGTAGCTGTGGTTGATGCAGCCTACATATTGTTGTCGTTGTTGCTGCTGTCGACTGCTTTCGCTGGCCGTCGTGGCTACAAAAAGTCAAGTGGAATTTGTTGGCTCTGGTTATTGAAATTGGACAATAGCGGGCATCAAAGCAGAGGGAGCGCTAGGCAAAATTACCATGTAGCTTATTCTTCTTTTCTGTACTAGGACATGCCCATGTGTACTTTTTCTTATAGCTGGGTCTATCCGACTGCGGTCCGAGTCCTGGTAGTTTAACCTAGAAGTAGTAAACATTGCAGAGTTCAGTAAGAAATCTAGCCACATAGGCACATTGCTGCAGTCGATGGCAACCGACAGCTCCATACTCTGTTCAGTCTTAATTAACGATTACGAATACTCTCCTAATAAGTATCTATGACACTTGGCCCAAACCCATGACATTCAAACTCTGAGTTAATACAATTTCGATCTTCGTAAGTTGTGGAAGCAACTCCATTTTGGTTTGCTCAAAAAGCAGATCATGAGTAGTTTACCTGTCAAATTTTAAGACTGTAACTGTAAACCTATAGCAGGTTTAGATTTTAAAAGTACGCCCTGCTCTTTTAGGCGAAGCCCCACACTTTTATATCTCTTTTTTATGTTTAACAGACAGTCAGATATACAGTAGAACTAAAATACTCGTTTTCGCACTTTAAACTGCAAAACACTAACTAATTAAAATAAAAAAAAAAATACATTGAAATCAGTTGTATCTAACAAAGTTGCAATAGTTATTAAACGCAGCATCAACATGATTGGGCAGAAATTTAAATAAACTCTGTAATTACATTCTATCAGTTGGCTGACAGACAGCACAACGGGAACAGTTAACAGTGTGACAACATTTTGTGAGTTAGGCGTAACTCTTTCTGTAGTTGTTGTTGTTGTTGTAAAGTGCACTAATGTTAAGCTGGTGTATTGGCGCCGCTGGCGAACGTTAACCCTTCAACATACGAGTACAGTTGAGCAGCATACACGAACGCACATATACCCAGAGCCATTTACATCAGTAACTAATTCTCATATGTAAAGATGTTCAAAAATGCGGCTGGGCAGATATTGATTTTATGGTGATAAACTGAAAATATTGCCCATTAGAGTAAAGAGGCTTAAGCACAAAAACTGAGCGTTCTTTTGCACACACAATGAAATAGCTTTATATAAATTGTAAAAGCAAAACACACGCACACGCAAATAAATATCCAAGCAGACATAGGAAAAGGGAGTGGAGTTATGGGTGTGAAGTATGGCTCCGTCGATATGCCTCCCTTTAGCAGGATTCAGGATTTAGATATCCAATCAGAGAATACAAGCATTTGATAGAAGTTGTGAGAGCGCGCGTGGAGAGTATGGGAGTACAAGTGTGAGTGTAAGTGTGAGAGGAGGCAGGTGGCTGATGTAAATATCAAGAAGTACAAATCGATTAAAGACAACGCGCTTTGGAGCGTAAGTGTTTGTGTATGTGTAAGAAAAACTAGAGCTGCCTGCGGGGGGTTAAATAAATGCAAGGCATACAGAGAGAAACGAAGCGCGCGCGCACGATTGGGGGATAGATGAATAGAGGGTAGCGGAGAGTATATTGTTTGCTTAGGTCCTGAGCTATAGCAAGCACTTAAGCAGCATACTTCCCTCTCTCAAAGCTGTACTCTCTCACTCTCTTTGCGTCTTTCCATTTGATTGTTTTCAGTGGTCCAGCAAATAATTCAGCTAAGCAGAGGACACACAAACACAATGCAAGTATGTGCGAGAAAGAGAGGGGGTGTGGGAGAGTTCATGTAACACAAAAAGGGCGCCACTTTTTATATGGTGAGGTAGGAATATATATATATATATATATAGCTACATATGTAACACATACATTTTATTGTATGTAACTCGAATTTGTGCTGCCTGGGCCCGGGAAAATGGGCGGCACAGGCACGAGAAAAAAGGCTAATAAAGCTTAACTCTAAGATATCACAAATATAAACATAAATGGAAAAGTTTCATCGGATTGAAAAAAGGAATATTAAATAGGTAATACAATACTAAACATATATATTTTAAAATGATTGGATTCTTTTTATATGGCAAAGTATAATTTCGTGGTCAAAGCTAAAATTATTGCATACGATAAAATTATTTTAAGCAAACCGTACCCCAATTTAAATCTATATTATTTTTAAAACTAGTATAAAGTAGTTAATTACAATCGACAAACCGAGAATTTCACTTACGTTATGCAATATGTTGCGCTCGGACTTTTAATCGTCGCCTTTCTGTCTCACAGGGAGCAGAAATTATATATTAAATGTACTTTAAAATTAACCGGCTGCCGCGCTCAATGCATTTTCAATCATTACTTCGTTACGTTCGGGCCACCTGCAAGAAGAGAGGCAACGATAACAGCAGCGGTGAGCAACAGTTTGTTTTGTGTTTATGTTTACGCGAAATAATCAAACAGACCGCGCGGTACAGTTGCACTCCCCTTCCCACTATTAAAGTTTGCCGCCATCATGCACGGAACACCAGAAAGCAGGGAAGGCAGCAAAGGCAAATCAAGTGAAAATTATTTGCAGTCAATATGCAAAAGTACACACATACAACAGATGTGTACATATGCATATGTATAAGTGTATATGTGTGTGCTTGTACAGGCACACAGATGAAAGCTGCGTCGCAATTAACGGCAGGGGGCGACAGACAATTGGCAGGGCTAACATGATTGAAATTGGAAGTCGTTGTAATATGTGCATATTTTTATTCAATAGGAAGCATACATACATATACATATGTATATACTCCACATAATTTTGTATCAAATATAAGTAATAAGTAATTGAGCATCTAAAAACGATCGATACTATTAAAATATCACTCATATCGTGCTAAAAAATCAAATAATTTATATGTACTATAAGTACGTATACACATACATACGTATGTGTTTATGTATGTACTACATCTATTGCGGTATGTGCGTGCATTGCCCGTCTTCTAGATGTTGAACCTCTCTGCTTTAGTTTGCTTTTGGCTCCTCTGCCAACACAAAAAAAAAAAAAAGAAGTTGTATTTTATTCTCTCTGCTGCCTCTCTCACTGGTTTCTTGGCCCGCAATCGTCTCTTCATTGTGTGGCCTGGCCCATGCCTCTACTTCCTTGCTTTGTGCACTTTTATATTTTGCTTTATTTGTTGTTTCGTTGTTCGCTCACACGACGTTCGCTGCCGCTCTCGCTCTTTCGTACGCTGTTTCTGCCTCTCACTCTCTCACACATACATTGCCTCTCAGTATTCATTGAACAACGCTCCACCGTTTCCTCATACACACCCCTCTGACGATTTGCACGTTGACGCTACGTACAATTCCAACCGCCTAAAGCGGAAAACCAATAAAAACGAATTGAATCGCAAAGCGTAAGTACAAAATAAAGCGAAAAAGGCTGGCACAGGCAAAACGAGAAAAAATGAAAGCTAAGGCGGGCGCGCGACGAGCGAACCAAAACGAAAAGAGAACAGTACAGGCGGCGCATACAAGTTTTGCGTTTTGCCCACATTCTATGTCGAACTCGAGTTATAGTTATAATTATTTCTGTCGTTGCCTCGTCTCTCGGCTTTTTATTTTTAATTTTGTTTGGTTGTCGCTCAATTTTTCGCTGAGCAGGGAGAGGCGTGAGAGAGATACATATGTATTTTCATTACAGGCAATTAGTGTGCATTTCATAATTGTTTAATAAAATAGAATATATATAAAAAAAATAAAAAGAAAACTCGAAATGAAAAAAAAAAAACACTATTATAGTATACTGATGTATAAACTAAAAATCAGAAACCCTAACTTAATGTAACATATGGTACCCAAAAATCTAAATATGTAATTTCCGAATAAGATATTCACAGCCCATATATACACGCATACAATCAAAGCTCACTTGCATTTGCATTTATTAATACGAAAAATTAATTTTTCGAAAATGCAACCCTGCGTCGCAGAGCAAACAAGAAAATGACACGATGATGACGTTAATGGGAACTCGGTATGTGTATATATATACATTACGAAGTCACACACACGCTCTCACAGATACAACACATAAGCGCACAGCAGCTCACGTATCTCATTCAAACGTACACACATAAGCATGCATAAGTTGCTCACACTCTCTCACACACACACACACTGATGTCGACCGCAGTCATTTGATAATATTGTATTAGAATTTCACAAATGTACACTATTTTTCCAATCAGATTATTTCCACTCGCATCCATGAGCACTTTTCACTGTAAAGCCTCACTACCCCAACCAATTACTTGTGTGCATTTTTGCATAAACATTCGCTAAAATATGTTCTTATGACGCCATTATATGTATGTATGTATGAAAAATTACTTGATTGTAGTGGTTGCGGTGCGTGTATGTGGAAAAAACTTTAGCAGCACAGCAGCAACAGTAGTAGAAAAATCAAAACGCCGCGCGGGTGAGAGGCGGTGGTGTACGGTGTACAGAGCAAAGCAAACTGAAAATTGAATGAGACGCGGAGGCAGCAGAAGCAGAAGCGCGATGTAAAGTTCTTCGTGAGGCGCATTCGTTTCGTGCCCTGCACGAACACACAGTGAGCACAAACAATTGACATACCACGTTCCCGCGAACGGAATTTTCAATATGTTCAATTTTATTTTAGAAACTTCCCCAACCGGCTTAAAGAAATTAACTTAAAAATAAATAAATCTACAAAATGTAATATTTCAAAATAAAATAACATTTTGTTAATTGTCTTGAGTAAATAATACATTTTCATATAACCAAGCAGATTAAGGTGCAGCAGTACAGTTGTTAAAAACATCTGCTTGAACACCTTATGAGTGAGTCAGCATGTTCGATAAATTATTGTTGTTTTCTTAATGTATATACATATTTAAAAAAGAGAGAATTTATAAATTAATAGGGGTAATAAATAGATAAAAATAATTGTTTTTGTTACTTATGTACGTTAGCACCAATTCTACATAGTTTCGAACTACCCATGCTGTGCATTCGTGCAGAGCTCTTGTATCGTGTTCGGCGTTCCTGTTTCTCGTGGGAGAAGCAGAGAAAAAGCAAAGAGAGAAAGAGATGGTGTTTGAGAGAGAGGTACAGAAACAGTATGTCGTTTTTGCGTGTATGTGAGTACGTTTGTGTGCGATTGCGTTGTTCTTATTGACTGGCTGCGCGCTGCTTTTAGGAGCTTGTGCTTGGGCATAAAAAGGCGGTAAAAATTTTAAGCTAAAATATGGCAGCATTATAGTTGAACAATCATTAAATACACATACAGCATACTTGACTTCGCGGTTAGGATTAAATACTTTAATGCACATACACATGCACATGCATGCGCATGCATATGCACAATTTACTTACAGCGGTCAGACCAGAAAACCAAGTTCTTTCGACTTGCCCACCACTCCTCTTTTTTCTTGCTTGTGTATGTTGCAGCAGCAGGCGTCCAGCACCACAACGCATACAATTCTTCCAAATGGCGGCTGAAGACGGGCACCAACAGCGTCAAAATTTCATACCGCACGCACTTTGGCTATCTTCTTTTTGCGAACATTTTGCACCGCGTTTACGCATATTATTTCACTTTTTTATAACAGCATTTTTTGTGCACAAAATATGAAGAGCGAGGAGAGCAGAATTAGGGATGGTTCTAGCCAGCTATCGAAACTTCGATATTTAACAAATTACTCTCTGATATTTTCTGCATGGTAACTACTGTGCGCCATAGATTTGATATCGATGTTAGTAAGTTTTTTGAATTGGGCTTAGAATGGTTAGTAAATAATTAGTTGGGTAATATAATGGAGAAACTAATATACGCATGCTTATACAAGTTGTACACATATAAAGTACTATTAATATAGTAACAAATATGATTGGCTTAAATGAGCTGTATATCGTATAGCTAAATATATCGATAGGTCAATAATATCGTATATAATGTACGCAAAAGGCCCATTCATTTTCTGTTTGTATTGCCCTCTTTCGTAAAAAAAAAAACAGTTATTTACTTAATGTATGTACATAGCGATTGACTGTGGTGAATTCTTAACTAATTATAATAACACAACAAATTCAATCCAAGTGGCTTTTGAAGCGGCCGGCTTTTGTTTTTTTTTTACCTGTTGGCCATTAGGTATAAAATTCGTTCAGATTCACGTAATTTTCCGTTAAACTAGTGCTAAGAAATGTAGTTTGTGATTTGTTTTATTTCGCGTTATCGTAAAATAAATTACAAAATAAAATACATTTGCATATAATTCGTATTCTTATGTGACTAAATATTAATGTACTCGCAAATCTTGGGTTAATATTGCGCTGTTTTTTTATGTTAGTATGAACCAAAACAGAAATCTATTCTGACGCAGGCCACGCCCCATAATTGTGCTGCGCCCTAAGCATAGGGCGAGGAAGCCGTTAGCGATCGTTCCCCAAGTATATATATATATATGTATATATATTAGAACTAAGACAAATCTATAAGAAATCACATAATTGAAATTAAGGAAAACCAAAAAAATCGTAAAACTTGTACAAAAATAATGTTTCGGGGCGCAGTTGCTAAAATTCATTTTGGATTAGTCACCTTGGAATCCATTGAGATTAATTCGATTTGTTTTTTTTTTTTTTTTAGTGACTAAACCAATTACAAAATACAATATTTAATATTCAAGCATTTTATACAGTGCAATTTCTTTGAGTTTATGTTTATGTTTATTTTTCTTTTTCATATTTTTGGCAATTGGTTACGCGCTCTTCTAGTTGTAAGCATATGTTAAAATCATCCAAATCCTTGACTGCAATCGCTAGTTTCGCCTACAATAATATACAAATATGCTAGAATAAGCATTCTATACCATTGTATATATATAAAAAGTGGTCCTTAATTCGAGACTTGGTGTGAGTGTGTGTGAAAGATGTTCGTTATTTGTTTTGTTTTGGTTGTGCTTTCTGGTTAGATGCTTGTCAAATTTGGTGTATTTTGCTAAACAAACTCGCGTAGTTATTTAACGTTATTACACTTAATAAGATGACAGTGTGTTCTTGAAGTCTTGCGAAATGTATAAATTTAAGTTTGTCGAAATGCAGTAGAAATTAAACAAATTGTGATAGTTACACTTACAGGCGCGATCGTTTCAGTTTGTTTGTGGAGAGGACAGTACGGTACCGCTACGGTTTCTACAGAATTGAATATAGATTTAAGTTTTTAATAAGCTAATATAAATCACGATAATATGGCCACGCTTCGCCGCGGACCGCCCTGACTGACGTTGTCCATTGAGGACCATTTCTTGATGCCATTCTTAAGCGCCTCGGCTGTCACCTTGTCCTGCATAACGCGCGACATGGCCTCCAGTTTCTGTGCACGCTCCTTTGATAGCGGCTCTGTGGGAAAATTGAGCTCGTTTGCCTCGGCAAGCGTGCGCAAATCAAAATAGTATTTGGCATAAACGGAAGAGGGCACATTAATGTTGAACTGCAAGAGCTCCAGAAACTGACGCTCCAACTCATTCATATCCTCGACCGTAATATCCTTGAGTATCTGGCAGTAGTCCACGTTCCACACGGCCTGATCATCCCACACCTTAGATGCAAGCAGTATGGCACCTGCAAGGCAAACCACACAATATAAATAAGAAAATCAGAAAACCGTAATCTAGTAGAGGCGATATCCAGGAATAAACTTTCTTCCTTTGAGACTATAATCATGAACTGTGGAGCTGCAGTTGCAGAACTCAAATTAATCATTAATTGGAACCTATACGGAACATGAAGGATGTTCAATGCTACCAGACAATATATGATTATATTCTTTATCGCTAGATGAGGAGAATTCCGTGAATATCGCGCATCTCGGATAGCATACCCAACACCATGCGCTTCCAGTTGCACGGCCCCACATCAAGTTCCGCGTAGGTGAGCAAACGTTCCAGATAGACTAACGTTATGATGGCACACTCGGCCGTTAGTTGGGCGGCATTGAAGAGCGTACGCACAAACTTGTAGATCTGTCGATGCTCAGGATTAAGGGTGTCATAGTTGTCGGGCACATGGTCGTGTGTTAATGGATGCAGCTTCTCGTCGAATATGTCCAAACGTCGATCCGACTGACGATTCTTGATGTGATAGTAAATTGCTAGAGAAACGCATTTGACTGTGTTCTTTAAATTCGGTTGGGACACAGTGCTGTCATCTAAATAGATTGTGGAACAGGAGGAGCTCTTCTTGAGGCCACCTCCAGTGCCGCCGCCAGAGCTGTTGGCGCCAGGTGTGTGAGCTCCGCCGCCTCCTATGCTGCTGTTTTGTTGTGCGATTTGATGCTGTGAGCGCTTACGTGAAATGCCGCCATTTTCGACTTTGGAGCGCTCCAGAAACATGGTAGCTGCCGTGGGATCCACAGAAGGATCCTCTTCACCCTCGAGCGCCTCACGCTCCGAGATGTGCTGCAGATTCTGTTGATTCTCAAAGTTATCGCCACTGCTGCCCTGCTGATGTTGATGATGATGCACGGACATCGTGGCGCCACCAGATCCATGGTGACCGTCTAGCTGATGTTGCGATGTGTGCGGCAACTGATGCCTCTCCTCAAACACCGGCGGTATATCCTTCGACTTGCGATCCGACTGCGGACTGGAGTACGCACAGCACGAGTTCTTGTTGCCCATGGTTGATGATAAGTCGCTTAAGATCAAATATAAATGCAACTGTCTAGCGTCTGACTAGTTTGGTCTTCGCCTCTCTCTCTCTCCGTCTTTCTTGGCTTGCTTCACTTGAATTGCTTGGGCCAAACGTAGCTCTTGCTACACTCGACTTGGGCCGGAGTGGGTGCTCACGCTCTTGAGTTTCTGCGATTTTTGGCACTTGCTCGATTTCGTTGACTACTTGAGGCGTTTCTTATGAGCATGGCGCTGGCGTATCGTTCAACAATAACTGCTGCTGCTGCTGCCTGCAACCAAGCGTCGAACAAGAAACTAAAATCTGCAAATATAAACAATATACATGTGTTTTTAAATCAAGTGCCTGGCTAGGTCCCAAAAACATATAACTATTGTTTCTTTATGCCTTGATAACACCTAGGCTTAGTGGTGCCATGTACCAAAATATATTAATGAATGTGCTTGCATTTTGTAGCCTCCGATTCTACAGCTACGTATAGTATTTATTTAAAATGAACGACCCAATGATAAAGATGCTGTCCGGATAGCCCGCAACGTGGCGTACGCGATAAGATTCCGCTGGCCTGTTTATTTACAATGCGATGGCGCTCAGATTATTATTGCAAAATTAATTAAGTCCGAGCACGACACGTCGGTGGGTGGACGGTGGCGGCGACGCCAAGGCGTGTCAAGGTGCTTGCTTAATTTGGTAAAAGGAAACGGGGGGTAACACATATTGAATGGGGCGGGGCCCGTTCTATGGTCAGGCGGTTGGCACTGAGTGTCCAGTTTAAGATAAGTGTGTCACTGTCACTTGACTGAAACGTTTTGCCCATTCAACATTAATCACGGCCTTTTCACAAATAACAAATATCAGCTACAACAACAGCAACAACAACAACATAGTCTTCCATTTGCCGCTGCGTGCATGGCAACGCCATGAGCAAAAACTTCACTCATACACACACATATTCACGTACACAGTGGAGTAGTTGACTGCGTTGTTGCTAACAATAGTGGTTTAATTAATTTGTTAACGCTGCATTGGCGTTGAATTTTATGCACACAGGGCACTGCATCTTATTGGTACTTGTACCGACATTTTTATAGGAAAGTCTAGCGAAAAAATGTTTTTACTTGTGCAGCTACTTACAATAAACTGACAGTAAGCACGCAACGTGTACACAATACCGTTCACATGTTTCGTTCACAAGCTACCAGCTGTTCATCGGCTATGTTATACTCAAATGGCTCGGCTATGTTATACTCAAATGGTTCGGCTATGTTATACTCAAATGGTTCGGCTATGTTATACTCAAATGGTTCGGCTATGTTATACTCAAATGGTCCGGCTATGTTATACTCAAATGGTTCGGCTATGTTATACTCAAATGGCTCGTTAATAAGCATGGACATTTTGGTAACAGACTTTTAGCATGATGTTATTGTAATCGATTTACGATGCCACGAGTATCGATAGTTTTATTTTTTAACTGAAATTTGAAAAGCGCAGTACTAGGTTTAATTATATATTTATTAGTATATTAAAAGTCATATGTTGTTATTATAATTTCTTGAAGGTATTTCATAATAAGCACACATCTCAGCCATCTAAATACTTTCATAAACCAGCCGATTAATATGCATAATAAACATTTTGAGTTCAACTTAAATGAAAATAAAAACATTTACAATGTTTGTAAACCGTTTAGAGACGTTTATATTACTTGAGTTATAAATGAAACAAAATTATTTACAGTTTAGCGTGCAGCATGTTTGCTATAGGAGTGTATTTAGTGTTGTGCTGGTTAAAAATGGGCTAAACATTTCGAATGTTACACGACAATCTGTGCACATTTATTTACACAAAACCTACATTTTGTTAGTTCGGTCTGGTTTTTTTCTTTGCTTGGTTAAGTATAACATATTTATATGCATTAAGTAGTTTATTCTTTAAATGTAATGATTGCTTTCAACTCATAGATTTATACATACTTTATTATAATTATGACTTGCACATTTCTAAAAAGAATGTCAAACGGAAATGATCATTTGTGATATTTCAGAAGATTGAAAATGTGATCGTAAACTTTTACCGAAAGCCACAGAACCTTGCAAACTTTGTGTTAACCAAGAAATTTGATCAATTTTGATCAAAAAAGCGTGCATAACATATGTATGTATATTATCAAATTGTTATTGTTATTGTTATTATAATGTTAGTTATACAATATGTATGTTGAGTATTTATTGTTGCTACAAAACTACATTCGCTAATAACGCTAAGAATGTATTGAATGTATTTTACGCTATTTTGGTAACAGATTTCATAACAATATTCGCTATTCTTTTTTTTTTTTTTTTTTTTTGTTTTTCATAGCATTTTCATATAGCTCCCACCAATTAGCCAAACAACTGAGAGATATGCACAGACTTTACAAATTGGACTGTGCCCCAAAATCTTATGCATTCATACAACATTCACCTCTTCATTTTGTACAGAGTTCTACATAGATACAAATAGAAACTGTCTATAGCCGACTATAACTGTATTGCCTAATCGCTTTGAGCGTTCAATTTGTTCGATACACATACTGTTAACATTATATATACATAATATGTATTCGTATTTGCGGCTTATATGTATATGTATATGTATTTAAATATTTGGTATGTTATGTTATGGTATGCTAGTATATTTTGTATTTGCTGTAGCTAAGTACGAGATTAAATATGTATGTATGTATGTATGTAAATATGTATGTATGCAAGTAACTAACTGTATGGTATTAAACGGTTCATACGGCATACGTTTAGCACATATGCATTGTTACCAACTACAGTAGTTAATTACAAGTATTTACTACCTTAATAAAGCTATGATCCCAATTTCAGCTGATAATTTGGTACCTTACCGCTAAGCACATTTACCACTGCTCTTTACCCCGCTTCCGCTCGTAAAACGCCAAGGAGCGCACAATAACTGTTCCCAGGGAAATTCCCCGGCAAATTCCCATTATTTCTTATCGCACGCACGTTTCTTGCCTGTCTCTGTCTCTGTCGCTGTGCAAAGAACAATGGTAAATCTTAAAAGAATGGTCCCGCTATCAGACATTTTGAAAAACGTTTAAAACATTTTAGTTTGGATTCCTCTTCGAATACGAGAAAAATACAGACAAGAACTTAAAGAAAAGAATCGTCTAACATATAAACTGTTTTTTTTTTTTTTTTGGTTTTTCGTTTTTTTTTTTTTTTTGTAAACATAAGCCTTGTTCACGTATAAAAATAAATATGCTACACTTTTGGATGAAGTGTGTTCCATTAATTATTATAATTATTCTTAACATTCATATACGTGCATACGATATAGGTATGCATCGAGTAGGTAGCCTGTGCATATGTAGAGGGAAATTCAAGTAAAGATTTCATTTTTTTTTTTTTTTTTTGGTTTAGATAGTCTGTTAGAGGTCTTTTAGATATTAACACAAGTTGTATAGCTAGTAAATTTTTCAGGTATTTTTTAGTTTAGGTACTTAATATCTAGGCAGCCCACTTAGCATACGTTCGCCCCTCCAAAATTGAGCAAAGTTTAGTATGAAAACGAAAAAGAAAAAAAAAAATAAAAGTAGCTAAGGAAAAAAATTATAAAAAATACATTTTTTTAATAAAATACTTTGCATACGGAAATGTCATAACAAATAATTATACAATAAATTCCAAACTTAAGAAAATGTTAAAAAAAATTAATATATATAATGGATAAGAATAGAGTTTGCCCTAAACTAGCATATAAGTGAATATTTCAATCTATGAACTAAGCTAAGTAAATGCTTATTAATTGTTTTCTGGATTGATAACAACGAAATAATCTCCTACAAATGCCAGCTATTTACAACAATGTTTACGCTAATATTTGTTTGGGTTCTCAAATATTTTTTTAACAAACTAGTTGCAAACAAATAATACATTCTATTATATAGTACACATTCAGAAATTTACTTATTTTTTGCATTTATGTGATATTAACTGATTTTTGATTGATCAATTACTAAGCTGCACATATATCGCCGATATTTTTTTTTTGTGTTATTTCTACCGATATTTTGTTAAACAACATATTTTATACAATTTTCGAGTTATTTATGTAGTTATATAGGGTTGCTACTTAGTTGTTGTTGTTGGTTTTATTATCTGTGCAGAGATTGTATCTATGTATCTGTTATCTCTTATCGCTTATCGCTTATCTATTGCATATCGCATATCGCTAGGGGCTTAGTCAAGGACATTTCAGTTGGCAACAGCCGCTTCCTTCTGTGCTCCGTCCTCCGTTTCCGCAGCGGGATTATCCTCGGCTTCAGCTGCAGCTTCGGCAGCGGCGACCAGCGCACGTGCCTCGGCATCTGCAAGGGAATCGTATAAAGGATTAGTCCGACAGTATCTTAAGGATTTTCAGATCGAAGCTAGCATTTGGAAGTCCTTGCTATGGATTTTCATGCAAAATGCCCATATTTCTTCTTCTTAAACAAGTTTAGCTTAGATTAAGCTCGTGCCGATACTAAAGAATTTTTAAGTTAAGTTCAAATCCTAATTCATAAAATGGGTCATCCAGTAATATTCTCGAGGCTTAAGTTGGTACACAGCGATATGTCGAGGATTTTTATTAGCAAATCCTGAACTTTTTCTGATTTCAAAAAGTTTCAAATACATAAAATACAATTGCCAAGTCCAAGGTCCAGTTCGCGTCTGCACATAAATATGAATTGAACTGGCTGCAGGATCTAAGGATAGCTTTTCGGTCATATTTGAGCAGATTTCCGATTTCGAGAACTTACGTGAGTACGTTTTTGAGTATTTTGTGGTGTTTCTTGGTCTTGGTCTAGCTTTAGATGGTACTTTTTCTTCGTCGATCTAAGAGCTCTGCGTAAAAGGTTTCAGTTTGTATTATCAAATGCTGTGCAAAACTCAATGCTAAAGGATCAAAGCAAGGAAGGAAGTCCTTGCCCAAAATAACTACGCCAAGCGGCTAAAAGGCAATTTGAGTGCTAATCCAAATCGAATTAATTAGCGAGCCCGGGCCTAAGGCCATGTCTGCGTCCAGCTAGGGTACCTACCTTTGATGGCTTGCTCCTTCCAGATCTTTTTGTTTTCAGAGAGACAGATGAGCCAGGGTTTGTTAATTGAGAACTTGGTTGCACTGGGTGTTAGGCTCTTGCGGGTCATGGCGCAGGCATTTGTTTTTTTCGACTCATCCAGATCGGCATCAGCGCTGTTGGCGCTCTCCTCGACCAATGGTCCCGGCTTGCTTTTAATAACGGGGGCAATGGGCGCTAGGATGTGCTCGAGCATGTCGGACATGATGGTCATGCTGGGTTCCACAATGAAATCGATGAAGCCGATTTGAGATTCGGCCACGAGCGTATTCTTGCGATCACATAGCGGACTGAAGGGCAGGCCCAGCTCCTTCTCGAGATCGCCCTGGCGAAAGAACTCCTCCAGCAGCAGCATCGTCCAGCGATGGTGGACATCCCAATGTTTCGCCGGATGCGATATATCACAGCAGTGCAGCACCAAGGACAGCGCCTTCGATTTGTCAATGGTCGGCTCCTGCAGTGTCAGCAGATTGCGCATAATCTTCAGCTGCTGAAAGTGATAGGTCATGTCGGTGGCCAGCACCATATCAATGATGAGGGTGCGCAGCTCCTTATACTCCTCGCGTGACAGGTGCGACAGTATATTGGCATCGTCCTCCCTCATCAGCCGAAAGCTGGCGCTAACATGATGATTCTCCAGCACGGCCCGATCATTATAGAGCAGCGCCGTCTCCGAGCCAGACATCACGTGGAAATTGTTGGTAGTGCCGGTATGCTCAAAGTCGTGCAGCAGGGCCGCCAGCAGCGAGGCGAATATCTCCAAGTCCGTCAGCCAGTTCATCAGACCCGTATTGCACAGGCAATAGTGCATCGTGTGCATCACATCCACCGCATGCAGATTGTTGTGATACGGATTGCGGAAGCGACAGTAGCCCTCCTCCACGCGATGCAGAAACGTCTCCAAGACGCCCGGAGCTATCTTAAACTTGTGCATAGCGCCATATCGATTGAGCAGATCGTAGGCCACATACTTAATCACCTGGCCACTGGCTGCCTCGGTCAATGCAAACACATCAAATGTCCAGTCGTCCAGGTTCTATTTAAACGATGTGTAAAAACAAAGATTGCGGTTAAAGTTTCATATGCCTACATAGACTTAAACGGAATAGTTTTCTTAATGTATCCTCCTGTCATCAACTTCGCCTTATCGCTTCATAAATAAACCAAATAAAGAAAAATCTAACAGTTGTTTGCCCTATCTTGAGATGAAATTTACGTATTGAAGCATGCTGAACAGATGGACATGTCGGGATCGTCTCAGATGATCAAAGCTATCTATGCTTGGGTTTAAAGCAAAAGGGATCTTTGTGGAAATTCATTTGAGACGTGTTTTTAATACTTTCTGCAAAACCTAACCCTTCTGGGTTCAGAGTTCAAAGGTTCTATGGGCGAAGGTTCAAGTGTCGACAGTTTCGATTCACACTTATTTATATGAAAAATTAAGAAACAGAGATTTTAGAAAATTCCACCCGCAACAGTGGAAAATTGACGGACTGTTGTATTCAACTTTTCACTCATTTTCAAAGATCTTAGTGAAAATTCAATAATTCCCCTTTCTTGATGAGCAAGTCTATTTTCAGGCTAAGAACTGCTCGCAACTGGATGAACTGTTGATTCCAATCAATTGTCTTGAAACCACAAGCGATTAAATATAAATGTTTTTTGTGGTATTGATTCACATATTTATGCTAACATTCCACCGGCAAGTGTGGAAAATTAGTGGAAGACAGTTATGAGCATCTTTGTTAACCATCTGATTGGCTTGAAACTCACGTACGCGGATTCCGGCATCTAAATGTAAATGAAATGAGCATGAGGTAATAAAATTAGCATTAGTAAAATAGCATTTTTTATTACTAATATAAAACTGTTGAGGCTGTCAGGCTCATTAAAGCTAGCTTGCAAAATGCATCACAAAGGTCGCCAAAATTTTGAATTACAACTTTTTATTTCTACATAATTTTAATCATGTTATTCCATTCAATTGAAAATGTTTCGGTTGAACGCGCAGGACTCAAAGCCTTGAAATTTGTTTACCGCATTTCCATGATTCATTTATTTTCAGCTCATTTTAGTGAAAGGGCAAGAAATCAAAGGGGAAAATGTTGCAGGGTTCGTGCTTTGGCGAACTTCATGTTTCTTTTCAGAAAACTTCACAAAGAATATGGCATAAAAAACTGTGTGAGCAGCTTTGCTTTCCACGTCTAGAACTCTCAGAACCTTCTTCTTTACATTTGAACATGGCATTTCCACTTTCCAAAATTCCATTTACACTAATTTTTAATACTATTTGTAATGGATTTTATGAAAATGAGCTTTAATTCGATGGAAAATAAAAAATGTCTATTAGAGAATCACGTTTTAAATGTTTTTTCATAGATATTTGAAAACTGCAATTGATAGAATTTCACCTATTTTCCGCCGTGCTGATGACTTTTCACTTTGGTGAAATACATATTTGTTCTTTTATAATGTAAATATTTCGCTTTGTAATAAAACTATTGAAACGGAGAATGAGTTTTAGGCTCATTGGATATTTTTGAAAATATTTAAAAAATAAATAGAATTTTCCTCATCACTTTATAAAATATAAACACATTATTTGCCAGAGAGTTTTACGCCCATTTTCCGGGCAGTAGATTTTCTGACAACTGTCGAGACTTAATAAAGTTGAGTGAGTGTATTTGGTGGGGTTTCATAGTCGCCTAGGAGAACTAAAGCGCCGTTAAGTGTGCTCACCTTTAGCAATTTGACAACATCGGGTGGAAACTGCATCAGGGTCGAGCTGGACACACGCCTGTAGATGCGGTCCACGAAGATGCCGGCGCGTATGGCATGGGCGACCGAACGGAATCTGGGCTTCTCGTCGCTCCTGTTGCGTGTGGTGGCCATTTGGCGCGTAAAGGTCGAGGCCAACCATTCGCGCACCTCGGGCGGCACCGCATCCGGCTGCACCTCGGACAGTTCATCATCCTCGTCGGCCAGGCGCCTGCAGGGTTTGGGGTGGGGGTTGGGGGGTTTGGTTTTTGGTAAAAGGAGGGTTGTAGAAAAGAAAATGTATTAGTCCAGCTTCATGTTATCTTTTTAATCAATTTTGTTTTTTTTTTTTTTATTTATTTTGGCTAATTAGTAAAGAAAATTACCAAAACGTTTAATTGAAACATAGAAAAAATCAATTGAAAACAAAAAAAAAAAATGTTTAGTAGCGCAATTTTATAAATTTTTTGTTTTCTTTAGATTTTGCATTTTTTTCTTTTTTGCTTTTGGTGTTGTTAAGCTCAAGTTACAGAAAACAAACTTAAAACGAAAAGTTAAAAAGACAACAAAAATGAAAAGAAATTTCAACGTAAACGAGTTTTGTTTTGTTAGGAAGGGGGGAAAAGTGTCTGGACGGGGTGTGCTCGGAAAACCAATCTCTAATACATATTCGTGCAAGGCTTGATAATTGCATTCCAAAACAACGAAAAGTAGATTTGGTTAAAGACAATTTCGAACACGTTAACTGGATGCAGCAAAATCGCTATAAGCCAAAAAGAAAAAAAGGAAATAAACTGCGCAGGCAGTGCATGCTTGTATGTGTGTGTGTGTGCGTAAGGGCGTTAGTGTGTGTGTGTGTGTGGGCGTGGTCTTGACCAAAGAAATTTGCTAATTGCATGCCAAGTTTTTGCCCTGCGAGTGCAACAACAAACGTGCTACGTGCCACAAGAACCGAACAGGACGTCACTTTTAAGGACTTTAACTTCCACTTCGACTTCGACTTTGAGCAGAACTTGGTGCAGAGTTCACGCGAAGCCTTTGAGCAGTATGTGCTTTATAATTGGCGCCGATAACAATTTGAATTTCTCAACTAATTGGTCATTTCTGATTCTGTGTGTGAGTTATGCTAAGAAGCTTGCAGCCTCAATCAGTGCATTTCTATGGCAACACATGTTGGCTTTTTTTTTTGTTACACATTTTCCAAGAATCAAACACACACACACAAGCACACAATAAGGATAACAGCAGCTGCTCGTTATGGCGCAAAGCACTTAAGCTAGCATCCCCGAGACCTGAGACAGGGGCAGAGACAGGCAGCGAAGCGACTTAAGCAAATTAGCGCCATATTTAATTATGGCTAATTAGTCGCAGTGCAGCGCTTAGACAGCGCTCCTCGGTACCAGAAACTGCACTAACTACTTTAGTACCAACTCTTTAGTTTCTATCACTAAAATCCAAATTTTCAAACAATGTGTCCACTTTTAAGTTTCGGTTCCTCATGCAACAATCTGTGAACACAATAACTTGGCTCTCACATTCTTTTATATTTTCGAATAGGAATTCACTTTTGTTATAACCGAATTTTTTTGTACTTTGATGTGGCCAAATAGTCCTTTTTTTATCGAACTTAACTTTTTATTTTCACAATTTGAACAATTTAATATCTTGTGAACTATCTGGGTAGAACATTATTTTGGAACAAATATATGTTCTACTAAAACTAATAAACGCAAAAATCAAGCAAGTTTTGTCAATTTTTGTGAAAGGTTTCTAAAATTTAAGAATGAGTCGAGTTTCCTGAAACTCTTGCAATATATATCGTTAGCCAGCTGCAGCAGAGTTGAACATGGCTTGATGGTTCTTTTCCGGCACAAGTTACATAACTTCAGGCGCGGCACCTCCCCCCAACCCCCACTCCCCCCCCCCCCCCTAACTGTGGTCCGTAAAATGTGTGGCTATTTGTGCAGTTCCTAACAACTAGTGACAAGTTCTATGACGGCTTTCGCACATGTACTTCACTTCATTTACTTGGTATTTATTTATTTATATTTTTTTTTTGGGTAGCTACTAAATTTTGGAGTCAGTTATTTATTTAATACCATTCCGTTTTCATGGCATGCTCCGTTTCAGTGGCACACAACATTATTGTTGGCAAATTTGCAACTTTAATTATTATATTTTAAAGCACTGTACAACACTGTCTGGCCGGAATGTGTGTGTGGCTAGGTCTTGAGTTGTCGCACCTTTTCTTCTTTTCCTGCGTCTCCTTGGCGCGATACTGAATTATGAACTGGATTAGCTCAACGGTAATGACACTCTGACGGCTGCTTTCACGCCTCAGGCGACTCATCGCGACGATCACGAAGCTTGAGCTCCTGATTCTACTCGCCACGGGCACTGCTCGACCTGCTGCTGCTGCTGCTGCTGCTGCTGCTTTTCCTTTGGCTGTTGCTGTTGCTGTTGTTGTTGTTGCTTTTGTTGGTGGCGTAGACATGGAGCGGCGTCGACTAAATTGACTTTGCGTCAATGTCAGCTATTTTCTGCTCTAGCTACGCTCGCAATGCCATACGCATTCGCTCACTCGAAATAAACCGTAATTTATCACTGTAGAGCAGCGAGTGGAAAGGAGAACGAGAACGAGAACGAGTGTAACCAGTGTTGGGTCACAACAGCTTGCAATTAGCGCCAAATGCGCTTTTAATGATGACAACAGGCGACAGGAAGAACACGTGTGCAAATATTTGTGCAGCTTTGCTATATTTTTTTTACGCTTTTGTTTTTGGCCTTTTCGCGACGAGCGTTTTAATCCTTTCGGCGGCAGCTGCTGCGGCGCGCGTAGTTGGTTCGTTGCGAGTTAAATTTAAACTAAATGTTTTGCCAGTTGCGCAAAAGTGCTAGAACATCGCGAAACTGAAGCCGCTTGCGTGCCACAAGGCTCCGGGGCCCAAGCCAGGAAGCCGCCGACTCCGAGAGCCTGTGCGTGCCGCCTTATGTATCATAGTAATTCGTACTCGGCCACACGCCAGCAGAGCATACTGTAAAACTGTGTGGGGCATATCAATTATGTCAGCAAACAGCAAAATAAATAAAAAACAAGTAAGAGGTTCTAGTCGGGAGCTCCCGACTAGGGGATACCCTGAACCCTCTTCTTTAGAAGCTATATGTCAAGTTTGGTGACTCTAGCTCTTATTACTTACTAAAGTTGTCCAAAGCACAGGATATCGATATCGATTTTTATCGATTGCTTGGAAACGGAGTAAGTTATCGATTATCGGAAACAAACTCGATCTGCGCGGGAACTAGGAGCATCTACATCTACATTTCAAGTCTCTAGCTCTTATAGGTTCTGTGATCCTTGCGTTCATACATACGGACGGACGGACATGGCTAGATCGACTCGGCTATTGATGCTGATCAAGAATATATATACTTTATGGGGTCGGAGATGCTTGCTTCTGCCTGTTACATACATTTGGCTTTCGCACAAATACAATATACCCTTATACCCATTTTTAATGGGTTCAGGGTATAAAAATAATAATAATAAAAACAAAGGACTCTCGGGTCGAGCTAAGGAGACCGCAGGCAACTTTGCAACTATTGTGCACAAACAGTCTCTCGTCTATTTCGTTTACAACTTATTTTTACAAAACAATTACACAAAATGCTAAAAGGCATCAGCAGCAACAATAACAACAACAACAACAATGGCCATATCCTGGCTGGCTGATAAACACGACAACATCACGAGCACAAAGCCTTTCCAGCTAGAAACTTCCTTTCTGAGCCCCGCCTGGCGTTTGCTTCATTGTGTTTAATGACTTTGCATGCTAGCGCGAATCTCAAGATGGCGGACTCCGCACGAGCAAGACGTAACGGCACTCGACACTTGCTCGGGGTCGGAGGTCAGCATTCAAGGTAGCTCTGCCAAGCGTTATAAACGGTTTTATTCCCATTCCAAGTGCCGTTTCACATGTCTTTAGCGCTTTTGTTTATTTCTCCAATTGCATTTCATAGCCTTACAGCTATGCAGCATTTAATTTCGCCCCTCAAACTGCGGCGAATTGCGTGCGTACCGTTTGTTTCCATCGGTTATGGGCGAATTTGCATGCAGTTAGAAATCACGCTAGCCTCCGTTAGACAACGCCCCGAGAGTTGGGCAACAGGTGTTGCATTCTTTGTAAGCTTGTTATTTAAAGACTCTTAAGCATTTGGCCTGCTCGCATCCTTGTGTAAGGTAATCTAAGTGATGATAGCTTCGTTTCGCTGGATCAGTGAATAATTTTCAACAATATTTCTTGGAACAGTTGGTGTAAGAGAACAGCTCTTTCGTTTGTAAAACAAATATTTCTAAGACACAACTTTTTTACGTAAACTGAATGCCAACAATTTACGGCTTTAAGCCATTTGGGCGCCTGCCTAGCCAAGCATTTTGTGGCCCCAAACGCTTGAGCTTGATTTTAAGGCTCATTTGAGGGCAAACCGACAATGGAGCCGACGACCAATGATAATGCGGCCACCCCAAAAGTATGCCACTTAATAGTTATGCGTGCAATTTCCTGTGCCGTCCGTGCCCCGAAGCATTCTGTCGTCGACGCTGTTGTCATCGCCGCCGTGCACGGGAAATTGCTGCCAAATTGGCAGCATTGTTTTCTGTCAATGATTTTTTGTTTGGCAGCATCGAAAACTGAACAGAGCCTCACTGAGTGGTCCATTTGGCAGAGGAGCTGTGCGTAGCCAGGAACACGCACATTGCGTGTGTGGAATCATTCGATTGTAAATCCCGTTAAGCTGCGAGAGCGTTGCTTCAGATATTTAGAAACTGTTTGTTGAGTAATTTAAAAGTATAGCTATACTTCAGGTGCCTTTGTGCTTCTAGGTGTAGTTTCCCAAAGACTCAACTGAAATATCAACTAGCGCTAGGTTTACCGTTATGCCATAATTGATCTGGCAACCCTCGCATTAGTACGCCTACGGCCAGACTGATTAAAGTGCGTCTTCGCCGTTCTGTTGTTCTCCGGCTATTGTATTGCTATTGCCAAAGGACATTAACTGAAAGGACCTTGCAATTGAATGCGCCTATTTCACTGCTGTCTTGTGTGTGGCAAAAATTGGCAGTTAACATCATTTATTATTGATTTTCCTTTTGTTTGCCAGAAAGACAGAGGCCGCTCCGTGCAATATTTCTCCGGTTTTCGCAGTCGGGTGTTTGCTTGAGTTGGCATTTTTGTTGCTCCTATTCCTATTGGGTCACTTAGTCGTATTGCCCCGTCTACTGGACTAATGCTTCACGCGAAAGATGATTGATGACTGCGACCCGCTGTCCATATAAATGCTGCTCTACACACAATTTGCTAACGGTAACGATTGTATACAACGTTTTGGCTACATATAGCGACCTTCAAATTGTGTTGTCCCTTCCCAGTTTGACCTAATTTTTTGAACTTGTTTTTATGGAGGTCTGGGCTTCACACTCTCTGGCCTATTGGAAATTTGTTTGCGTTTTATTATTGCCTGCAATTCGATCTGCAGGTGGAATGCCACAATGTATTATTAATTGGCATATTTAATGAGTGCGTGTGTGTGTGTGTGTGTGTGTTGTATACTTGTTAAATCAACGTAATTTGAATTTATGACTTTGCAATTACTTTTTTGGTTTTGGTCGCTGCAGCATGACGGCAAAAATTTTCTTTTAATTATGATTTATTGGAAATGCGCGTATTTGTTCACTTTTTACATTTTTCACGCGCGTCTGCGAATGCGTGAACCCAAAAACTGAAAACACATTAAAATGATTTCCACCTTATCGGCATGAATGAAGCCGCAAATGGCATTTAATTTGTGAATTTTGTACAATTGATATCGACGGCAACAATAAGAGGCCTCGGCCGCACACAAACATACATATAGACATATTGGGGCACAATTTTATATCTATGTGAGATTTTATAAAAAATTGTGATTTCTTTTTAGTGTATTTTATTATTTTTTTATCATAATTAAACAATGCGAATAGTTGCGTCAGCAAACTCTTTGATAAGCCAATTTGGAAGGTGGAACACTTTTTGGGACATTACTGTAGATGGGTGGCAGCACTCTTTTGTAAAGAACAGTGCAATGTTCAACAAATAACAAAAAATAACTGGAAGTGGCAATGATTGGAAAATCACAATCACACATATCACAGGATAATCGAATGTCTACCAATTTACGCTATCATTTAGTTATTAAAAAGGCCAATATTGTTTTATTAGGCATTGTACTTTTTGGACTCTCACAACAGATACTACAAGCAAATGTACCAAATTTTAAGAAAAAGTGCGGTTATTTTAATATTACAAGATATCGTAAACTCATTGTAATTCGGAAAAGGACACTCAAGTGTTTTAATATATGCTCAAAATGTTAAGATGTAATGCAAATCCTTGCATTAAGGAGATTCACAGTAAAATAAATGACCAATTTTGGCACATTTTCACCACGTGGCAGCCATGCTGACAATTTGTCCCTCTATTGTCATATTTTGCAAATGGGTATGTTTCGCTTTTAACAGCTAACGGAGCATTAGGCCTACTCTTACCGCCAGCGGCTTAGGGAATGCCGTTAAACGAAGACGAAGACTTTTGAGCCCGGTGGCAACGTCGGCGCTTCGACCGCGCCGCCAAATGACATGCTAAACTAATTTTTGGTGTCATCCGCACATGTTAAATACGGTTTTCTAGTTAGAGGAGATGCCCCACAAGTGACGTGTCCTGCGGCGGTAGCTTGATTAATTTTTGGCTGACAAGTGCTTAGTAATAATAGAGTGCGAGAGAGTTGAAAGACACAAATCATTGCGGTGCTCTATTGCGGTGCTGTTGCGGGTAATTGTATGGTTTTTTTTGCGAGTGCAGCAACAAAATAACACAGACCCCGCTAGAAGGAGATTGAGTGAGGCAAAGAGAGAGAGAGAGAAAGAGAGAGAGTGAGGACAAACCGCAAGCGTATGGTTCGTTTACTGTTGCTGCTATCGTTGATGCTGATTATGCTATGTCGGGCATAGCGGAGCACATGCGTGGAGCTGCTGCGACAAACGGTATCAGTGGAGGACGGTAAAGACGGGGTGGATGAGTTGCATCTAAATGAAAACAACAACAACAACGAAATCAACGACAAACAATCAACAATGAAATCAACTGTAAACGTTACGAGACAAATGACAAATGGCAACGACGCACCGCCAGACGATCTGTGGTAAGGGATAAGCTCTCTCCGGCAACCAATTAAAAAGAATAGTGGTAAATGTCTGGGATTAGTCGGGCAATCCCGACCAGGCGCTGACTTCGCGTGTCAAGGCTAAAACTCAATTGACAACAGAATACCCATGGCAGCCAAATGTGCCGCCAATTACTCACATCCAAATGCCGAGCACGGGCTGGACAGTGGCTGACGCTTGGCAGGATGTCAAACGGCACACCAACAATGTCACCACTGTGCTGGCAACGAACGTTGAACAAAGGAGATGCAAAAAGACAATGGGTAAATAAAGACTTGTCTCGCCGACGCGTTTTATACTCTTGCAGCAGTATTTAAATGACAAGCTTATCGAATATATAGTTTGGCTTTTTCAGGAATCATTTAAAATCCATGTTCTCTTTGCTGCAAGAGCATAAGGCTCGTTGTGGGACTTTGCTGCGTAATGGGTCCAATGGGAGCTGTTAAGGCTCTTGCCTGGTTCAACCGACTCGAGTCCTTGTTGGCAGTTTCAATTTCGTCGTATTTATTTCCATCATCTCTTGCGCTGCAGCGCTGCTCCACAAGTGCAGCAACGCATATAAATGGCGGTCAATTGCAGCTCGTTTGTCGAGCCACCGTTTGCTCTGCGACCCGCGTCCCGCGACCCGCGACCCGTTTAGAAAATGGCCAACTGGGGACAGATTCCGAGCGCCGCCCCAACACACTAATTATGTTTTGCAGTCAGCGGCAAATGGCGTTGGTTGCGTTTGCCCTGCCTCTCCGGATATCGGTGGATGCAGTTGACTGCGTTTTCAATTACCTGGCTGACTACTTACTAGGGAAAGGTCACGTGTAATGGAGATTTACGTTATGTTCGCGATTGCAATGCTATACTTAAGTGATATCAATGGTAATGTTAGGAACGAGTCGTATGTGGGAGGAGTTATAAGAGCTTAAAATAAATAATCTTGAATTTAGAAAACCTAGCATAAGATAATTGGTTTATTTGAGGAAAGAACTAACAAGTAAATACTAGGAACTAGGCACAAATATTCATGTTGTGCCTGGATTTTGGCCACGTGAGTTTTGGTTGTGGTGTGTCTGTAGCTATGAATGCGGTTCCTAAAGTGCGGCTGCATGTCGCCGATTCCAGCGCCAGACGGTCGCATCATCGCACACATAGACCAACACGCTGGCATCCCGCGAAAAGGCAATCTGACGCACGGTGGCGACGCTGCGCAAATTATGCAGCGTTGTCATGTGGGCGCCTTCCGGATCACTGGGATCCATTTCCCAGACATAGACCTTGCCCTGCTGATTGCCCAAAGCGATGACCTTTTGCCAGGGATTGAAGCCGAACCGCACAAACCATATCTCACATTCATCGTATTCGAACTCGGCGATAATGGTGCAGGAGGAATCACTGGGCTTTAGCTGCTCAAAGCTCTGATGCAGTTGGCCCGGCTTCCAGCAGACGATGGCATTCTCGCAAGACTTGGAAAGCACAAAATTGCCGAACCACTGCACACAGTCCACATAATTGCGATGTATATCACGCGTCGAAAAGTCCGGAAAGTGCTTAGTAATCGTGGGAAAGGGCAGCGTCGATTTCTCTTGGCTAAACGTTTGTGACAGCTCAATCTTGTGTTGAAATTCCTGGGTATTAAGGCACCATAGCTTGAGTGAATGATCCATGCCGCTGCTGACAATGCGATCGCCGCGCATATTGAAATCAATGGAAAGCACCTCATCCCGGTGACCCTCAACACCGCCAAAGATTGCTATGCAGACGTGCGTCTGTATGTTCCACAAGCGTATGGCATGATCCTTGCTACCGGAGAGTAGCAGCTGCAGCTTGTGCGGATGAAATTTGAGTTCGTTGATCGCCTGGCCATGACCAATATAGTTTCCCACCGCCTCGTTCTGCTCAATGTCAATGACGCGTATGACCCCGCGGTAGCCAGCGGCGGCAAGCAGCGGCGCAGACGTTTTCAAGTCGTATGACCAGGCGCAGGTGTAAAAGACCTCATCGGGCTGGCATTAATGTGAAATTTGGGCAGTGATACAGCACGTCTAGTTTCGGGCAAATGACTGCTACTTACATCCGGATCTGCATAGCAGTGCAGCAGCGTGAGGCCGCCCTTGCGTGGACACTCGTAAACGGTGCAACGATTGCTGCCCGCTGTGGCAAACACCTGCGGTTCATCCTTGCCCAGCAACGTGTTGAACGACACGCCAAATATGTTGGCGCCGTGGTTCTCCTTTACATGTGTGCTTGAAGTAGATGTTGCATCAACTTGAGCCATAATTTCTTTGAAGTGCAACTTACTCGTATTTGTAGGCTGCGCCGCTTTTTGTCTTTGATTTGTGGCTGCGCCGGCCGCGTCGTTTGCTGCGAGTGCTGGAGGCCGGCGATTTGCTTCGTGATGTGGTGCTATTTGTGGTAAAGCTAGCCGATTCGTCCTGTATGTGTTGCGGTGTGCGGAAATTGTTGCTATTAAATACTGCTGCGATTTGCATTTTCAACTTACGCCGCACGAATCGTCCGCCGAGTCATCTGGCTCGTTGTCGTTTTTCACTTTTTCGCTGCTCATGACACTTTAACACACGCTCGGTACACACAGCCAAATGACAATAAACAATTAAGCTTGTTTGTAAGCAATTTGAGCAACAACACAAGTGTTTTTCCACACTTTTGGCGGCAAGATACACGCGCAGCGTTGCCACCACGCGATCGGTATAGTGCTGGTATATTGTATAACAGTGCGCTGTTAATCAACATCAACAGCAATATCGATAGTCGCGCTCTACATGTCGATAGTATAAACATCGCGTGGAAACTAAAATATAGCCAACCAAATTAATTTCGATACCTTACTCGATAAAAAACGCGCGAACTTAGTTTACGCATGCGCAAGCCAATTGAACAATTATTAGTTTTATGAAAACATTGAACAAATATGGAGAGGACAATCACATGCCATAATATTAACTGTGAAGAAAACATTTACAAATATGCATGTACCAAATGTATGTATTTACTTATTTAAGAGTGTACAAAATGCAACACAAAGGGTCAAGGTATTACAGAGAGCGTAGAAAGGGGGAATAAAATGGATGTACAAAAAGAGGTTTCATATTTATTTACAAAGTTAAAGTGATATGTGTATATTAAGGGACAGGATCAAGTCAATATATACAGCAGTAGAAAGGAAACGCAGACAATTTATCAAGGAGTATACAGACAGAAGTTGGATATAGTTGAGAAAGACAGACAGAGACAGAGAGTTTTCTAATTTTTGTTGTTGTTGTATCTGTGTTGGTTAACGTAACGTAACAACGTAAAAGGCAACTTAAACGTCAAATATTGTACAATAACTGAAAACGCATACAAAATTACGCTAATCTTATGCAGTATAAACCATTTGCAAGTACGTTTTATTCGTCGACATTGATCTCGCCCAGACTGGTGTGCGCAGGCGTCTTTGTCGCTGAACGGTCGCTTTATTACTGCAACTGCTACTGCTGGAAACACTTTGACCCGCGGCAGCGCCACCTGTTGCATCATTTGGGTCTGTTGTTGTTGTTGTTGTCGTCGTCGTCGTCATCGTTGTCGTCGCTGTTGTTGCTGTGTCCGCTGGCGTTTGCTCCTCTTGCACGGATTCGGCAACAGTTTCAAGCGTTTTGGCCACCACCAAGTCCTGCGTCTCAGATGCTGCCGGCGGAGCCAGTAGAACGTCTTTTGTGCGGCTCTCGTTACTCGTCTGATTGTCGGAGTCAGTTGCCGACGGCGTTGGCTCCTCCGCCGCCGCTGGGTGCAGGCTGCAGCTGCTGTTTTTGTTGTTGTTGTTGAGATTCTTGCAGTCGGCATTGCAGCTCTTGCTGGCAGCCTCGCTGTTTGGGGCCGGAGCGTAGTTTGGTCGGAGGATTGTGGTCAAGTGTTTTTTTGCACAGCAGTTGGCAGTGAGTAAAAGCGAACCGGTACAGACAACAAATTATGGTACGGTTCGTTGTTTGGCATATTCGTGTTAATTTATAATTTTTATAATTTTTATTTTCATGATTTTATGTGAATTTTCAAAATATGGTTGGCAATAGAAAGAAAAATAAATAGAACATCAGTTGAAAGTTTTTGTTTTATTGTATTTTTTTGTTGTTTTTTTTTCTTTTTTTATTTATTTTGCTGGGGTTAAAGTCAATTAAAGCGAGTGGATTAGTTGAGCAAAGCTACGAATAGCACACGACGCACACAAACACTCGTCGACAAGCAAACAGTGTTGGATAAGTCGTTAGGGTCAATGCTGGCAAAAAGTGTTGTCGGGGCGAGTTGAGAGCGAAACTTTGTTTGCTGTTAACCCAGCCATGTGTGCCGCCCACACTTGGTTATGTAAATCGAACAATCGTGTCATGATGTTGTGAATAATTTATAGCGAATGCAACCAGACACAATGTATCTGCAGAATGGAGCCCGGAGCCCATAATAAATGTGCACTGCGAGTGGCAGGCGCATTGCGAATTTGGGCTTTTTTAATTGAAAGTTTGGCCTTCTGTGGTAAATAATAATGCAGTGTGCGCAACAATATGCTCTTTTCGGGCTTAAAAATAATACATATGTAAAAAGGTATGGGAAAACTTTTCCAAAAAGTACATAATTCGTAGAGATTTTTGGTTTTATAGCAAGCGTACAGTAACGAGTTATGTTTAGCGAGTAACGAGTAAAGATATGTAAAGCCAGATGATTCGAAGACAGATGTCATCTGGCGAACACGAGAGAACCAACTCTTCAAAAAGAGACTAGGTAGAGACATCAATAAAAAATACACCGAGAGTTAACTATGTTGAATTTGAAAGAGAGAGAGAGAATGAGAGAGTGAGAGAGAGAGAGAGAGCGTGAGACAGTTCTTCAATAATACGGTGCTGATTGCATTTGAATATCACACGATTCGCAGTAGTATATAACATATTGTAGTAAATTGGACTAGACTAGCTAAAATACACGCGTTCTCTGTATTGAATGACACTTATTTTGTGTATAGTATGAGATAGATGAGACCATAATGAAATGGCGATGATAAACTTTGCTGCGATTCTGTAAAACAAGGCAATAATTGTAGAGTATTCAGTTTAACTGACATTAGAACCGAAAATAGCACTACAACGTATGAGAGACAGAAAGTTAAAGAGTTAACAAGAGCGTTAAGGAATAAGATAGATACAGAGAGAGAGAGTGGAATGATATGAATAGAATAGTTGTTAGTAGTTAATTGATATGAGCGCGCGTTGGGGTTAAGAGGGGGGAGAGAGAGTTAAAAAATGAACAAAGTTAACGACAAACCAATTTTGAAGTTTGCTCTATAAAGACTTACTCTTCGCTCTCAACGGATGAAGACGCAATCCGCCCCAATTTACTTTTACCTGATGTGGGGCTTCTGCTCAAACACAAACACATATATAAAAAGAAAAAAGTATATATATATATAAACAGTGTGAAAGTTGTTAACGGAAAAACAATAGAAAAAAAAAAAAACAGAATTTGTCGTTAGCTAAGTATGTGATAGATAGTTTGTAATGATAAATGTATATAGTATGTAGATGTATGTAAACAGCTCCGATGGAATACACAATTCATGAAACTGGTTTGAAGCTTGCCTTTGTGTGCAATCCGAATGGAAATTCAATTATCTTAAGGTTCGAGCTATGCAGCACTATGCGAAGAAACCTACTAATACGCTAAAGCCTGAACCAATAGCTTGTACGATCCTCGAAAGCGCCAGCAATTTATTGGCCAGTTCGTGGTTAGATTTTGGTTAGAAAATAGTGCAAACAGCTTCAAGTCCTGTACAAAAACAACACACACACACACACATAATACATTCACCTACCTTGACTCGTCTATGAAAACTGCCTCCAGGACACGCGCGGCATAATGCAGATTCCGCTGCATATCCTCGTAGGCGACAGCCTCATGATCCATGCGTCGCAGCAGACTGCGTATTCTGCAAAGGGTGAAAAAACGATTACCATTTGCTTTGGGATTGTTGCGAATTAACAAAAGATACTAACTGTTAAAACATCTATCTATCTATATATCTATATATCTGTGTTAATATTATTGCAACGACCGGTAATAGTAGATGTTTCAATTAGTATAGAATACATTAGGACATTTACAACGCATTATAATTGTGTTGCATACTTTTTATACCCTGAACCCATTAAAAATGGGTATAAGGGTATATTGTATTTGTGCGAAAGCCTAATGTATGTAACAGGCAGAAGGAAGCAACTCCGACCCCATAAAGTATATATATTCTTGATCAGCATAAATAGCTGAGTCGATCTAGCCATGTCCGTCTGTCTGTCCATCCGTCCGTCCGTCTGGTCCGTCCGTCCGTATGTATGAGCCAAAGGATCTCAGAACCTATAAGAGCTAGAGACTGAAATTTTAGATGTAGATGCTCCTAGTTCCCGCGCAGATCGACCGGTAATCGATAACTTACTCCGTTTCCAAGCAATCGATAAAAATCGATATCAATATCCTGTTTTTTGGGCAATTTAGGTAAATAATAAGAACAAGAGTCACCAAACTTGACATATAGCTTCTAAAATAGAATATATGTATATATATGATATAGGATTTTACTTCATGGTTTTCCCTCTAGATTAATCTGGCATTCAAATCTGAACACCGATTTTTTAGTCGAAATTCATGTCCAAATCTTACCCCAAGATTCGTATATAGACATGGGTCAAAATTTACCACCCCCATAACTAGGTCAAATCTCATCCGATTTTCACGAAGTTTGGCTTTTTCTTCATGGTTTTCCCTCTAGATTAATCTGGCATTCAAATCTCGATACCGATTTTTTGGTCGAAATTCATGTCCAAATCTTACCCCAAGATTCGTATATAGACATGGGTCAAAATTTAAAAGCCCCATAACTCGGTCAAATCTCATCCGATTTTCACGAAGTTTGGCTTTTTCTTCATGGTTTTCCCTCTAGATTAATCGGGCATTCAAATATGAACACCGATTTTTTAGTCGAAATTCATGTCCAAATCTTACCCCAAGATTCGTATATAGACATGGATCAAAATTTAACAACCCCATAACTTGGTCAAATCTCATCCGATTTTCAAGAAGTTTGGCTTTTTCTTCATGGTTTTCCCTCTAGATTAATCGGGCATTCAAATCTCGATACCGATTTTTTGTTCGAACTTCATGTCCAAATCTTACTTCAAGATTCGTATATAGACATGGGTCAAAATTTACCACCCCATAACTAGGTCAAATCTCATCCGATTTTCACGAAGTTTGGCGTTTTCTTCATGGGTTTCCCTCTAGAATAATCTGGCATACAACTCTGAACACCGATTTTTTAGTCGAAATTCATGTGCAAATCTTACCCCAAGATTCGTATATAGACATGGGCAAAATTTACCACCCCCATAACTCGGTCAATCTCATCCGATTTTCACGAAGTTTGGCTTTTTCTTCATGGTTTTCCCTCTAGATTAATCTGGCATTCAAATCTGAACACCTATTTTTTGGTCGAAATTCATGTCCAAATCTTACCCCAAGATTCGTATATAGACATGGGTCAAAAATTACCACCCCTATAACTAGGTCAAATCTCATCCGATTTTCACGAAGTTTGGCTTTTTGTTCATGGTTTTCCCTCTAGATTAATCTGGCATTCAAATCTGAACACCGATTTTTAGTCGAAATTCATGTGCAAATCTTACCCCAAGATTCGTATATAGACATGGGCAAAATTTACCACCCCCATAACTCGGTCAATCTCATCCGATTTTCACGAAGTTTGGCTTTTTCTTCATGGTTTTCTCTCTAGATTAATCTGGCATTCAAATCTGAACACCTATTTTTTGGTCGAAATTCATGTCCAAATCTTACCCCAAGATTCGTATATAGACATGGGTCAAAAATTACCACCCCTATAACTAGGTCAAATCTCATCCGATTTTCACGAAGTTTGGCTTTTTGTTCATGGTTTTCCCTCTAGATTAATCTGGCATTCAAATCTGAACACCGATTTTTTAGTCGAAATTTATGTCCAAATCTTACCCCAAGATTCGCATATAGACATGGGTCAAAATTTACCACCCCCATAACTAGGTCAAATCTCATCCGATTTTCACGAAGTTTGGCTTTTTCTTCATGGTTTTCCCTCTAGAATAATCTGGCATTCAAATCTGAACACCGATTTTTTAGTCGAAATTCATGTCCAAATCTTACCCCAAGATTCGTATATAGACATGGGTCAAAATTTAACACCCCCATAACTAGGTCAAATCTCATCCGATTTTCACGAAGTTTGGCTTTTTCTTCATGGTTTTCCCTCTAGATTAATCTGGCATTCAAATCTCGATACCGATTTTTTGGTCGAAATTCATGTCCAAATCTTACCCCAAGATTCGTATATAGACATGGGTCAAAATTTAAAAGCCCCATAACTCGGTCAAATCTCATCCGATTTTCACGAAGTTTGGCTTTTTCTTCATGGTTTTCCCTCTAGATTAATCTGGCATTCAAATCTCGATACCGATTTTTTGTTCGAACTTCATGTCCAAATCTTACTTCAAGATTCGTATATAGACATGGGTCAAAATTTACCACCCCCATAACTAGGTCAAATCTCATCCGATTTTCACGAAGTTTGGCGTTTTCTTCATGGGTTTCCCTCTAGAATAATCTGGCATTCAACTCTGAACACCGATTTTTTAGTCGAAATTCATGTGCAAATCTTACCCCAAGATTCGTATATAGACATGGGCAAAATTTACCACCCCCATAACTCGGTCAAATCTCATCCGATTTTCACGAAGTTTGGCTTTTTCTTCATGGTTTTCCCTCTAGATTAATCTGGCATTAAAATCTGAACACCGATTTTTAGTCGAAATTCATGTCCAAATCTTACCCCAAGATTCGTATATAGACATGGGTCAAAATTTAACACCCCCATAACTAGGTCAAATCTCATCCGATTTTCACGAAGTTTATCTTTTTCTTCATGGCTTTCCCTCTAGATTAATCGGGCATTCAAATCTCGATACCGATTTTTTGTTCGAAATTCATGTCCAAATCTTACCCCAAGATTCGTATATAGACATGGGTCAAAATTCAAATCTCATCCGATTTTCACGAAGTTTGGCGTTTTCTTCATGGTTTTCCCTCTAGAATAATCTGGCATTCAAATCTCGATACCGATTTTTTGTTCGAAATTCATGTCCAAATCTTACCCCAAGATTCGTATATAGACATGGGTCAAAATTCAAATCTCATCCGATTTTCACGAAGTTTGGCGTTTTCTTCATGGTTTTCCCTCTAGAATAATCTGGCATTCAAATCTGAACACCGATTTTTTGGTCGAAATTCATGTCCAAATCTTACCCCAAGATTCGTATATAGACATGGGTCAAAATTTACCACCCCCATAACTAGGTCAAATCTCATCCGATTTTCACGAAGTTTGGCTTTTTCTTCATGGTTTTCCCTCTAGATTAATCTGGCATTCAAATCTGAACACCGATTTTTTAGTCGAAATTCATGTGCAAATCTTACCCCAAGATTCGTATATAGACATGGGCAAAATTTACCACCCCCATAACTCGGTCAAATCTCATCCGATTTTCACGAAGTTTGGCTTTTTCTTCATGGTTTTCCCTCTAGATTAATCTGGCATTAAAATCTGAACACCGATTTTTAGTCGAAATTCTTGTCCAAATCTTACCCCAAGATTCGTATATAGACATGGGTCAAAATTTAACACCCCCATAACTAGGTCAAATCTCATCCGATTTTCACGAAGTTTATCTTTTTCTTCATGGCTTTCCCTCTAGATTAATCGGGCATTCAAATCTCGATACCGATTTTTTGTTCGAAATTCATGTCCAAATCTTACCCCAAGATTCGTATAGACATGGGTCAAAATTCAAATCTCATCCGATTTTCACGAAGTTTGGCGTTTTCTTCATGGTTTTCCCTCTAGAATAATCTGGCATTCAAATCTGAACACCTATTTTTTGGTCGAAATTCATGTGTAAATCTTACCCCAAGATTCGTATATAGACATGGGTCAAAATTTACCACCCCTATAACTAGGTCAAATCTCATCCGATTTTCACGAAGTTTGGCTTTTTGTTCATGGGTTTCCCTCTAGATTAATCTGGCATTCAAATCTGAACACAGATTTTTTAGTCGAAATTCATGTGCAAATCTTACCCCAAGATTCGTATATAGACATGGGTCAAAATTTACCACCCCCATAACTAGGTCAAATCTCAACCGATTTTCACGAAGTTTGGATTCATGGTTTTCACTCTAGATTAATCTGGCATTCAAATCTCGATACCGATTTTTTGGTCGAAATTCATGTCCAAATGTTACCCCAAGATTCGTATATAGACATGGGTCAAAATTTAACACCCCCATAACTAGGTCAAATCTCATCCGATTTTCACGAAGTTTGGCTTTTTCTTCATGGTTTTCCCTCTAGATTAATCTGGCATTCAAATCTCGATACCGATTTTTTGGTCGAAATTCATGTCCAAATCTTACCCCAAGATTCGTATATAGACATGGGTCAAAATTTAAAACCCCCATAACTCGGTCAAATCTCATCCGATTTTCACGAAGTTTGGCTTTTTCTTCATGGTTTTCCCTCTAGATTAATCTGGCATTCAAACATGAACACCGATTTTTTAGTCGAAATTCATATCCAAATCTTACCCCAAGATTCGTATATAGACATGGATCAAAATTTAACAACCCCATAACTTGGTCAAATCTCATCCGATTTTCACGAAGTTTGGCTTTTTCTTCATGGTTTTCCCTCTAGATTAATCGGGCATTCAAATCTCGATACCGATTTTTTGTTCGAAATTCATGTCCAAATCTTACCCCAAGATTCGTATATAGACATGGGTCAAAATTTACCACCCCCATAACTCGGTCAAATCTCAACCGATTTTCACG